GGATTTAGCGCGGTATCAGACTTATATGGGTGCTAAAATGAGACATCGACATCTCTAAAAAAAATAATTGATTGCCAACGTCGAATTTATATACTTGCCAAACACGCGTTTAATATTCGTGGGATGGGACTACAAAAAGATAGCTACGCTCACTCTGTAGCTATAGATCTCGACTGTAGCTTATTCGAAAGAATACCCTCAATCGTTTTACAAGCTTTCTAGAAGAGAGAATCCTAGGATTCATTCTTTCCTGATTCCAATGCTTACCACCAAAATTGAAAAGCAACAGAGTTAATTCCTGTAGCCCTAATGCTTCACACCAAATTTGAAAACATTCGTCAAAATCCCAAGCCTCTGTTGCGTTAACGAGAAACAGTAATGTCAAAATGACAAGGGCCGTAGCTCATGAAAAACGGAGAACGCTGAAAATCGATAGGATCATCTTCGTATGGTGTATATGCTTCATTCCAAGTTTGAAAAATAAATCCTTCAAAATATCTAGCCTCTACAGAGTTAAAAAGACATTTTCGTGTATGAGTGACAGGAGGATATAACTGTGGAACAAAAATGTGGTGGAACGTCGATAGATGGCCACAGATCACCAATGATTTCCCCATTGACTTTAATGTTAATTCTCGTCTCTTAGACCGGCTCTAACTTTTTTGCTATATTTTCGTTGGGTAGAACGCTTTCTACCACAAATGGAGCAACATGTGGCAATCTCTTGCTCAAAAGCACGTATGAGGTTCACCATGTAAAACTTGAGATACACAAACATGCAATTTTCCGCCCTACATTTCAACCTAACCAACCACTCAACTCTCGTATCCTTCTACCTCAAAATAATGAATATTCACCAAAACCTGGCACAAAATGTATTTTCAAACCCGTTTCTTCGATTCTACATCAAAAAGTCAACAAAAATCGCCATGCAAACGGGGGAAAAAGGGAAAGGGGGAGAAAGACTAAAAAGAACTTTCGCCCTTCATTCGTGAGTGCTGGCGTTGGGTCCAGATGTAATGATGTGTGACGGCGTAGTGTCCAGATAAAATCATCACATCAAATCTGAAAAAGATTGCGCATCCTCGGCATGCTCAGTGGTATCGTTCCGTTACTATCTTGTGAATAACAAACCAGAACGCTTGGAATCCTAAGACGAGTAGCTACCGCTGCCTGTGCACAATTCTCATTGCATTGTGCACGTTACAATATGTTAGTTTAAACATGGCCAGAGTATTGAGGCACACACTGATCCATCTGAAAAGCATGTGTAAATTGGAAATAAGCAAAAAGAAAAAAAAATAGCAGCCTTTGTTTTATTTTTCGAATAGGTGAAATTTTATTAATGACACGTAAGCCAGATGGACGTCAAATCTAATTCCGCTGATGACTATACACGTTTGTCTTTTTACGTGGAGTCAAAATCAGCTTACAGAAAAGAATACTCTATACAACATAAAAACAAGCGCTCGGTGTTCTGGAATCCATTTAGCATCGAGCCCAAGGCAAGTAACGTACTCGCACCTTAAAATTTTAAGACCTACTTCTGTAATGAAATCTATTTCTGATTGTCTGCCTTCAAGGCACCAACTAATCTATTTCCTTGTCGTAATTTATATATGGTTTGCTATCGCGTGTGTCAATGTTATTAACTATAAGACAGATTGTTTTAAAGGACATGGACGTAGGATTTTACAGTAATTGTTCAATTTGGGACACGGCTATACAGAGGTTCCTGACGTAAAATTGTTTTACTGCAAGGGTTGTACCTTTTGCCCCAGTGGTGACATTTACCGTCCAAATTTGGTCGAAATGATGTTGGTTTATTTTGTATGACTGACAGAAGGCAAGTCCCTGTTCCTGTTGCAAATCATGATTAGCAAAATAGTTTTTTTGTACCGGTATGACAGTTTTGGTTGACTCCCGGTGTGTGCGTTTGTTCCTAAGCAGAACTATACCTACTTCAGGCGGTGTGAGATGGTCCCTGATCACTGATCGGTTCAGGAAAAGAGTATTACGTATTTGGTTAGAGTTTTGTCAATAATAAACAAATTGTTATCGTGATTAGCTGTTGTTTTAGTACTCAGCAGTTACACGATCAACGGATATACACTGTACCTTGATTGGCTTCAAATTGATACTTTTATCGTTCGTGATTTATTGCTGATATTTAGTCGTTACACGATCAGTGGAAACCATTAGCGTTCAGGAATTTAATAGCATTGTTAAAAGTAAAATTAAATCAGAATGGAAAAGTGAGTTGGCCAGAGCAAATACTCGTAGATTCAAATTATATAACGATCTAGTTGTAAAGACGAAGGTCGATCACCCATCGCGCAAAATTCGTGGATTAATCAAAAGACTCAGAACTAAGGATTTAATTACCGACCATAAGTATAAACTAGTGAAGTGCAATTGCCGCCAAATTTTGACCGTTAGTCATGACTTCAATACAACCTCTAAAATGCTGCCCCCCCCCCCCTGAATATGTCATATAAAATTTATGAAGCGATCTCAAAATTCATAGCAGAATCGGGAATTAACTGTTAAAGTTAGTTGCGAAAAGACCACTAGTCATGGAAAGATAACTGATTGTGTAGACCAGGTTGGCGGCTAATCCACCTGGATACTTTAATGATATCAGAATAAATTGACATTAAGATAGGAAACTACATATCTAGCTACAAAGGAAGGAACTATTGTTGTAGGACAGTATGGCGGTTCAGGCTACTGTATGATTTAATATAATAATACACTAGGGAAAAATAATGACAAAAAGAATAGGGACCTACACAACCATCATTAACAATGACAGTGCATATAAATCAATTTAATTTAATTTGTGTTTAAAAAACAAAAATAATAAATTTATTATATCTATAAAAGTTCTAATTTGTTTTAATTGTGTTGTTCTGTGTTGCTGCTTGCTCTTCTTTTTCTTTTCATGTAACTTTTATCTGGGGAGAGTCATACGCAAGAAAAACCCGAATGGAATGTCTAGAACTCTTAAAAGCTGAATTTGTGAACCTCATTAAAAAACTTTTAATTATGTGGAACGTTTTGGACGAACAGTTTTTAATATGTAAATAATCCACGGGTCCAGCTTAGTCTGTTTCACAGAGTATTACGAAAGTCTTCTAATAACCCTGTAAAAGATGACTGCTTTCAACATATGACGTCACATCACAGTTGTAGTCAATAAAATGACGTGTTTGAGTTATCAGTCATTATGGAAAATTCAACCAGAGGTCCGATTTCTGCTCCCTTGATCCAGTCTATTAAAATATACACAAAACAATTAAATTTGTACCGTATCATGAGATAGTATTTATATAGACTGGCTACCGCTATAGTTTATGACTACTATATAGCTGTTTATTAAAAGGACACAAGATGGCAACAAGGCTGTTGTGTGTTTTAGTTTAATCGGTACCTTTCAAATGGTAATCTGGGTGATCACGAGACTAAGTGGGTAAGACGCTGGCTCGCTAGCCTGGAGGTCGGCTGTTCGATCCCTGCATTGGCCGAGAAAGTTCATCCAGATTTTCCGGAGTGGCTCCCCCTTGTCAGTGATGCAGGACGGAGGGCCTGACAAGGACAGCTGTCTAGTCCTTCAGATGAAACGAAAAACCGAGGTCCCATGTATACATTGGAATGCACGTAAAAGATCCCTTGGCAGTTGGAATTCGATATAAGAGTAGGCGATAGTGCCGCTGCCCGGGCAAAATTTCCTTCATAGCACACTGTATGGCGTATGCCCGTCTTCATTAGCCCAGCATAGGAGCAGAACAGTAGGACGTTAAACCCCATTTCATATCATTTCAAATGGTAATCTGTGAAAACGCGAGACGTTTCAATGATTTAATTGTTCAGATATCGCCATTTAAAAAGCTATTTGTGAAATAAGGCGAATCGTAGGTAAAAAAGTAAATACCATGTGATCATTAATCCTCCACCAGTAAGCTACAAATTTAAAACACCAAATTTCGACCTTCCATAATATATTCGCAGGTTTTGGTAGACGTATACTCTATAACTGTATCATTTACGGTGCAGGGCACTTGTTAAGGAATCTGAAGCACTGCGGCATAATGTAAGTCGCGGGGTTTGGGTAAGGTGTCTGTCTACAACATGGTGCGAGAAAAACAACTGAGTTTTGAGATGGAGTACCCGAAGGAGCGTAGAGAGTACTCAAAGTAGGGCACTACAACTGTCCTGTTCAGAAAACGCAACATAGACCTGTGGTAAAGGAAACCAATAGGTTTCAAGGACACTAAAATACTGCGATTCTTTCAACTTGCTCTTAATGAGTCTGATTCTGATACGTAATATTAATTGTTTTGGGATGTAAACGCCCTGTGCTTTATTTACAAGTGTGTGATAGACTTTCCCTCTCACAGTACCAAAACGGTACTTTATTTCTTTACAAAACATTAGGACAATTCTTTGCAACGGTTATCCCACTACGTACTATAATAAAAAATGTCCCGTCGAGGTCTTTGAATAAGGCGCTTGCCCGAATGATTTTGAGTTCTGCGAGAGAACCGGGAAAACGCCAACAGTCGTGGGCTGAACTGGCACCAATAAAGTGATTCCGCCAGATCGATTAAAATTATATTTTATCAATCGATCCGTAATATCCAATAATATTGTCCTTCGATAGACTCTTTTAATTCACTGATCTTCGAAATTTGCAAATAAAGGATTGACCGTGTATCAAGATGTAGAGAACGTGTCATGCGGTTTCCTAAACTGTATGTTGCTTTATGTTTCTAGTTGTTAAGTTGGGATGGGGGCCGGGATGGGGGCCGGGCGGGAGCGGGGGTAAAGAAAAGAAGGGGGTTTAATAATACTAGGTATAATTTATCAGGACGCAATCTCTACGACAATTATTAATCGTTATTCATTTTAAAGTTGAAGCAGGCCAAACATCAGTATTTATTTACATGTTATTCACCAATATGCCACATCTACTATATTTGCAATAATTGATAATAATATTAGGAGTTTCATATATTTATTTAAACAAAATCTACATACAACAATGAGAGACATATCATGATAAAAGAAACACAGATATTAATTTATAGAGATGATTTGAAGTGGGTAACTGAAATACACATGTACATGTCCTTATTGAAAAATAAGATTAGCATTTAAGATGTAGTTTTCTATGAAGAAGGAAAGGTCCCGTGAAGATTGCGGCAGGTCTATCCCGAGTTTTAAGTCGATACCGAAGGTACGAATAATAATTGTAACGAAATGAATTGAGGTTTATTTAAAGTCCTATTAAGACGGACTATGGGGACAGTGGCATTTACACCAATGCTAACTGCCAAGGGTTATTTTTCTATTAGCATACCGATCTGTACATGGGACCTCAGTTTTTTGCCTCATCCGCAGAACTGGACGATGTTTCTTGCCAAGTCCTCCGCCTTGCGCCACTGCTAAGACGGGAACACCAGACTGGAACTTGCTCGGCCAACACTGGAGCCGAATCTTACTGAGACACTATGGTTCCACGTCGTAATCAAAGCTCTTTCCCGTATACTTTTTCTTCCAAATCCAAGGCACACATTCCCTACCAGTCCCGCACACCTTAGCCCAAGTAGGCACCAAGTAGAATGTTTAGCATGTATGTAATCTATTACAAATAACCAGGTATGTGACCTACACCTAGCAAGTACTCACGGGAAAGAAGCAACTTGTGAATCCGAGGCTTTGATTGTTCGGCCATCCGTTCTCAACATTAGACCTCATAGATTTGTCGTAATATTGCAACACTATGAATGAAATAGTTATGTCCCTTATATAATCCGCTGTGAACTACGTCATAGTAAACTAAATTTTCATTATAAAGAAAATGAAAATGAAATGAAAATGAAATGAAAAATGAAATGAAATGAAAATGAAAATGAAAATGAAATGGGGTTTAACCGTACTACTGTTCTGTGTCGACTGAGCTAATGAAGACAGGCAAACGACATACAATGTGCTATGAGGAAACTTTTGCCCCGACAGCCGCACAAAGGCCTACTGTTATATCAAATTCCAACTGTCAAAGGATCTTTTACGTGCACGCCAATATGTACACGGGATCTCGGTTTTTGGTACCATCCGAACGACTAGATAACTGTCCCTGTCAGGCCCTCCATTCTGCACCACTGACAAGAGGAAACCACGCCGGAAAATCGCGATGAACTTTCTCGGTCAACACCGGGAGTGAACCCGCCACCTCTTACCCACTTAGCCACCGTGACCCCTCATTATATAGGACACCAATTTAACTTTTGCTTCCTATTGGAAAATAAATGATTAAAGATCAAAACGTATTTGGTTGTTTTCTCGCAATCTTTTAGGAAAGGATGTTCAGTTATTTCCATGACCCACCATGAATTTGCCTTATAAGGTTTAGATATTATATCCAAAAAAAGTATAGATGACACTTGTTATAGTTACCTACGTGAATTACCCAAGGGGGGGGGGGCAAGAATCGGGGATATATTGCAAATTTCAGCAGCAATCTAATGAGAAAGAATTGAATTGAAACTTAACATGGATGGACCGACGGACGAAACACGAATGCAGCGGCAATATACGTCCGAATCGAATGTTGTGTGGTCGTATACAAAAGGGCATATTATAAGGGAATCCATCCCGGTAAAATGTGATCACTGTGGTCTAATCCGTGTTGTTTACCAAATTTCGTGTTAGGTTCCACAAAGTCTTTATAGTACACAGTTGTTCCATTTGTTAACCAAGCGGCCCACCACCCAAATGTACCCACAGTCATAATGGTATGATCCATTAACGTCAAAATGATCATGTCCACAACAGCGTGATTTTTCTTCATAAAAATAACGTCATTGTTTTCTGGGATGTTCTCCATTGCCCATTTCTGATCCTCAGTCACAACCACGAATGTCAAATTCTGAAATCTATCATTGAAGTATTTCATTGCACGAACTATATAATGAGCTGGCGCAACTTTGTATCCATATTTTACATAATAAGCTTCAAGTTTGTTACCTCTACGAATATGCATCCCGACCAAAGTTCGAAAGCTTTTGGAAGTTTGATCGTATCTTCGATCTAATTCTTTATCCAAAAGTTTCTTGGCTTGTTCCACCAGCGCCTCTTTGAAGACGATAAGCTGTCTCAGATCATCGCTGTATTTTTGGAAGTAGATCCACGATTGCAAGTATCCATCCACATTCACACTTCTGCTAATATTAAGGAATTTTGGATCGTAAGAACAACATTTGTCCTCCTTTAATACGGGAAGGCGGGCACAGTATCCGTTGTCTTGGAGGATCTCAGGGGGATACTCCAAAGCTGCAGCTATACCTTCATCCTTGACACTGACCAACTTCATATTGTTTTCCCGCGCAATCGCATAAGCAGATGCAAACTTGTAGAGAAGATTACCCAGGCCTCCATGAAATCTGTGACACAGAAACAGCCTTTGCAAAATTTTTCCGGTGTTATTGGTATTTGTTCCGGTGTGACAAAGAGAATAAGGCTTTATTGTATATACATGTATTAGTTGAATCACAAATAAACCGGTGACTGCTATGAAAAGCATCACCCCTAACACTGAAATAATAATAATAAAAATCGATATACAATATCATATTCATAAAAAAACAACAAATGTTTGGGCGTCGTGGCTACAGGTTGTGGCGGGTGTGGAGCAGGAGGCAGGGTACACATGAAACAACTTGTCACTGGGCTCATGATGATGAGTTAGTTGTATTTTACGTCCGCTTCCACCGAGGTGATATCGCAGACAAACTGGGCTCATCTTGACATCCAGTTTAAGTTTTGAACTTGGCATGACAACTCAGAATGATAACCATTTGAGGCCATTAACAACAAACAGTCTAGACTAGAACCGCAATCAGTGTAGACTAACAAGTCAATTAAACAATGACGCTTAACAAACAAGACTTTAATGACAAAAGATCCAGAATTTAACCACAAACAGTACAGAAAGGGGGTTCTGAAACAGACAAAGAAGACTTAATTCTCATAAATGAAATGAATGTGGTAGGGTTTAACGTCTGTAGCAACCAGACTAATTAATGCGGACACGTGCCATGCATTTGTCTATGAGGGAAATCAAATAACAGACAATGAAATACAAGCACAGAGCAGCTAAGTCATCCGTGAAGTTCCCTAAAGGTTATAGCATTTTTATACCCATACGTCGATCCGTCAACAATTGTTAACGGATTTTTAAAATTTAAATTGTATTTAGCATTGGAGTTATAAATAAAACAAACTATATATATATGTCAAGGGTCCCGCGACCGCCATAATCGGAAGTCGACAGTATTCTTTGAGCCATTGATATTAACACTGCTATACATTTAACATTATCTGGTTGATCAAGGGTCACAACACTGAAACTTATTTTCAGGTCCGTAACTACCGTCGTTGGCTTCGTATTGCGTCCAATAGAAAGGGTGCGATTCGGCGCCCAGTTGGGGCACCTGCCGCCCCCCCGCGCTAGCTATGGGTCTGGTTTCTTCTTCTAAGTTGATTAGGTGATACCTTTAGAGCGTCCATATACAGTTATTGAGGACGGCAGACAGACAGAGGTGACAACAATAAATAATATATGATCACAAATCAATGTGTGCGTATAAAAGGGATGTGCAGTAATTTTAGTGGAATTTTTAATAATTCATTCTTCAATGTCTATATTTGAACTAATAAAGCAAGAAAGGTTGGCTCTTTATCTAAATCTTAGACAGTCAATCAAATTGTCTGTATTGGTGTACCGGGCTTCGTTTTGCGATAATGAATGGGAACTTTAAAACCCAGTTATCGAGTGATTTTCTTGCGATTCGGGTAATTGGCTGATGCAAATGGAACTCTCAGAACACGGTTTGGGTAAAACCATTCCGACTTGTAATGTCCTCCTGGTCAAAAGAAATTAGGGTTGAACATGTTAACTTACCTCTCCATGTATTACATCGCATCATCTTTTAGTCAGATTGAAAAGTCGTTGGCCTCTTATTCTTTTATATTTAAGAATCGATTATTGCTTCCGTCTAAAAAGCATCTGGAAGTTGGATAGTCGATTTAGATCTAAAGATCTAACATTGATTCAAGTGTCGTGGTTTTGATTCCACTATTGTACTTGACAAGGTGTGGAGTCGCCGGTCTAACCTGAAATGAAAGATATAATCTACCATTTTAGAGACCATAAAATTTGATGAAATTCTTTTCAAAGGAGAACGACATTTTTTGGATGGTTCGTTAGTTCGTTCCTAGAGTTTTACGTCCACTTCCACCAAGGGTGATATCGTAGACAAGTTTTGGATGGAAATTGTTGCTGACAGTATTAAAAATCGATGTTACACTTTGAGACACTTGTTGCGACTTTCAACACCTTAGTCCGTCTATTTTCATAATATCCACGTACAGAATATCCAGGTCATGGTGGCATTTACTATTTGAAGACACCTTACAACACTTAGCATTTTGGCTAGTGGCGATGACAGTGCCCAACGCATTGATTTTATGCCCCTCCCCCCGCCCTCTTATACCCAAGTAGGCCTATAGGTCCTAGTATATGAGAATGGAGACATTCTAAATAAGTAAAAACTGGTGAAATAGCCATTTTATTTAAATTAAGTAGGACACCTTGTTCAACAAAGTTAACAGCGATGATTTCAAATTTCAAAAACACTTAATTGAATCTCATTCTCTGATTGCTCTGCACACTTCGCCTTCTGGTGCATGGAGGCTTTTAATAAATAAAATGTGATATCTTGTTATTACATTTAACCAATGTATAATAAAAGGCTATCTATCTATGCATAAGCATGTCAGGCCCATTTATATATGGTCTGGGTAGGTTCCCGTCGAGTGAACCGGTTCTATATTCCTTACCCCTTTCATGTGTCGCCTATTTTATAACAGCTGAGAGTTAATCTATCCCGTTGCTGTATATATTTTATTCGTTATCTTTAAGAAACACACAGCTTTTCGACAATCGTAAAACTACTTATTATTAGCAAGATAAGACATGATAAGATTTTATTGTATATATAGAGACGTAGTAATGTATTGATTGTTGAACAGACTGTTATTCAGTCATAATTTGGGACAGAAATTTGCAGTGAGCACAGCAGTGTTTGAGTGGGAATAGGTCTAATCAAACGAAACACTGCAAGAAGTATGGTGCGAAGAGAGTTTCCTTTCAGACAGAACTTATGTGCATTTGGTGAAGAAACTTTTAGAAAAAATGTCTATGTTATGTACTTGTATACTTTTAGCTTATATTTTCAAATCTGTCGATGATTACATCTACATGTTGAATATAGTGAACCAAATGAAATGTTTTTTCTAATTTCTTTAAATCTTTCTTTTCAGTCCCAGTTCAGACTTTAAAACTTTGAATGCTAACATGACATCACTATGGGTAAAGATATCATCCAGCTGGCTATGTCTGACTATTTATACATGGACCTTGGTGGCACCGATCATCCTCTCTAACCGAGAGTTTAATTAGTTATGAGTTGTGTAAACTCTTTCTCTCGAGTGATATTCAATTTTATTAAGTGAACAAAAAGTGTTTCCTATATTGTACATTAATTTTGTATTGTGTATATATTTTGAATCGTGTATGTGTATTTAAATTTTTAAAATTACTAAAGCCAGAAGCTAATAGACATTTTCTAATATAATTTTTTAAAAATGATTCTTAGATTGAGACACATAAAAAATACTGCAGTAAATGCTGAAAACTTTTACTAACAGATTATCAAAACAAAAATCTTAGCAAATAGCGAAAAAGATGGCAGTATGAAATCTATGAAAATAAAGGTAAAATTTAGATGCTCATAGTCATAACTTATGTTAGGATTTGATTGATTGGATTGTTAAAAATTTTGGTTAGATACATGTAGTCTTTTTTTATGATATTGTTATATTAATTATAAAAAATGAGATAAGAACTACGCTAACAGGATTAAGGCAAGATTAATTATGTTGTTTTTTTTTTAGATTATTGTTTCAAGTGCTTTTTGAGTATCAGATACTTTTGCATGCTAACCAGATCTGCATAACTTTGTAAATGTCAGTTTTAATAAATTTGGTTAAATTTGTGCTTTTTTAATTCTTTTGTAAGTTTGAATCATATTTTTTTGTTTTGTTATCTCCATTTGTTATATTTCGTAAATATTCTGATGTGCTTATAAATATGTTTAGAGTAACTGGAACAGTATCGTAATTGATAAAGAAACAATAATTGAATTTGTTTTAGAATGACCTTCAATCAACATAATTCTTACTTTAGTTCAAGTTGTGAAGTTGTACTGTATGTTAAATGTGAATTGACTTACCGATAGGAACATTTTTTTTACACAAAATGACGAAGTATAGTGCTGTATGTAAAACTCTCTGTAAATAAAAGAAATATGTTATGTTCCTCGTGCATTTTAGTTGCTTATTATTCTTTAGATCTTTCAGCATAATTATTGTAACTGTTGTGCTATTTGTTGTGTTTTTAGTAGATTACAGAATACTTACTGGTACCTACATGAAATCATTTTCTTAATGTTGTTTTTAAATGTGATATTGTATGAAATTAATTCCATTTATTTTCTTGTTGGAAGTTCTAATTCCCCTAAAAAATGTAATTGTAAGCAGATAAGAAATTTGATATTTCAATCCGAAAATGCACCATGTTTGAATCAAAATTTGTTTTCCATCCACAGAATAAGGTTGTCTTTCATATGCATTTTGCATAAAGTTCAATCTCTCATGTGTATGTCCATACTCCTTGCAGTGTTTCGTTTGATTATACCTAATCCCACATAACACTGCTGTAAAGGAAGCAAATTTATGTTCCAAATTATGACTGGTCAATAGTCCAATTAACAACCAATAGCTAAATGCATAACAATATCATTACGCTTTAAACAGAGCTCCAAATTTGACCAGATATGTTTACATGACGTTACGTCATGAATCACGATTTTATTATGTCTAATTAACCAGTACATAGCAGAATATTGCAGAAAAACTAATTGCGTGACAAACGAGGCTATCAAAACAACATAAACAATACAGTTTGCAGACGAACAATACTTTCACCGTTTTTAGTACCTTAAATCACTGTCCAAAGTTTTAGGGGAGACCCCAGATTAAACGAAGGGTTGTCATGTTGCTGTACTTGGGATAGATTTGATTGAACGGGAAAAATAGACACACTCCATCAAAAGCTCAAGTATCAGAAGCCAATCCAGCAATGGCCAGAGAGGGATTTCTCGAGCTATTGTTTCGGGAATATGGGGGTTGTCGGCTACACTAAGGCTGTACCTAGCCTGAAATTTGGTTTATATATAGGGGTAGCTCGGACCGGGGAGTAACATAGGCCAGGTGGCGTTGGACTACCCTGGATACAGTCATGTATTGAACGTTCACAAAGAGAAGCATACAATTAAAACACAAAATATTGAAAATTTAAACACATAAAAAGTGGACATTTTAAAAATTCATAAGTATAAATCATTGATTTGGTATTATTTGTTTTATTATAACTGTTATCTTTTTACATATTGGTATTTGGCCTACCGAGTGAAAAATATCAAGTTTAAGCGCTCATGTTTTGTAGTTAAAAACAGCGCCAAAATGTATACATGTTAAACATACATTATGCAAGAGCTATTGCAAGTCTTTGTTTCCCTCAGATATTATTAATTAGACCTTTATTTACATGACAAGCTCAAAATCAACTCTTGAGTCCTTTTGATGGCTTGGATACAGCTTGGATTTAAATAGTGGTACATTTAAAATTAAATCAATAAATGGCCGACCAGGCTAATGAAAGGCCTGCAAAGCGAGGGTACCATTGTCATTGAGAATGTTACTTGATAATCGAGAATGTGTTGGAGGAGTTATCGTCTGTCAATCAATCGATCAGCAATTCTCGTAGACGGTGCGGACACAATTGATGTCTATTTCTAGTCCAAACTTCCAACAGTGACAACTCCGTTCAGAATAAAGTAATTTGACTGAAATTTTCAATATTTTCCTTTTTTACCATCTATTTTTGAATTATTATAGCAAGAACGGCTAACTAATATCTTTAAGAAATGAAAAGACCAGCGGCTGCCAGGCAGGATACGAACACATTTTCTAGAGATGGATAGAGAACAAGCTAAAAATAAAGTGATTTTTCCTACAGTTTTGGGCTGATTTTCACGAAATTCGAACTCAGCCGTCCTTAGGGTGTAACGGTGATATAATAATACGGTTTTTTAAATCGGATAAAAATTATGACCTCTATAAGCTAAAATAGCGATTTTTCGTACAATCAGAGGCCATAATTCAGGAATTTATGCGCGAATATCGAAAGGAACCGAGATCTTTGGGTTATAAACTCACATTTCAAGTTTCAACAAAATCGGATTAAAATTAGGGTCCACAACCTTGATATACCATATTTTTTACGCTATTTGAGAACGAACAGCGGCCATTTTGTCTGTCAGTTTTGGACCGATTTTCACGAAATTCGAACTCAGCCGTCCTTAGGGTGTAACGGTGATATAATAATACGTTTTTTTAAATCGGATAAAAATTATAACCTCTATAGGGTCCACAAGCTAAAAACGCGATTTTCGTACAATTAGGGGCCATAATTCAGGAAGTTAGGTTCCGATATGCGCGAATATCGAAAGGAACCGAGATCTTTTGGTTATAAGCATACATTTCAAGTTTAAACCAAATCGGATAAAAATTGTGACCGCTACAGTGTTCACAAGCTAAAAACGTGATTTTTCGTACAATCAGGGGCCATAATCTATGAAGTTACAGTCCGATACATGCCAATATCGAAAGGAACCGAGATCTGAGGGTGATAAACCTATATTTCAAGTTTCATTGAAATCGGATAAAAATTGTGACCTGTAGACTGTTCACAAACAATTGTGGACGGACGGACGGACGGACAGGGGCGACGACAATATATGTGGGCGTATAAAAATGTGAATTTTGCCTTGTAATACCTGGTAAGGCTAAGCTTGATGTCCAAGTTGAAATACCTTATATACATAATAACACACTCATAGAAACTGAGGGGGGAGGGTTGAATAGATTTTCAAAGTTATGGTCAGATTGTTATCACCAAAAGTAGCAAAAAGAAGATTTAGCCTGAGATACTAATAATGAGGTGATGCTGTGGATCTCTAAATGAATTCTATTGTATATTCCAATATTATTCTGTTGCTAGGTAACCGCGTGATGGGTATTGATGGCTATTTCCATACATCAGGTGATCCATATGCCAAAAATTTTCCCTACTATAAGTGGTACTTGACACGGTAAATGTGCACGCTTCAGTGGTTTGTCTCGAAGTGATTTCTGCCTAGTCACGCACTCTCGTTGAGTCTATAAATAGCCATTGCACGTGAAATTCTCAACACGTCGATCAACTATTACAGCCGTAAAAAATCTATTGTTGACGATTCTGAATAGCAGTAATATTTAGCTTTTTGTTTATTACAGCAGCTTTAGAAATTACGTTCGTTTTATTTTTTAAATTGCTTTATCATTAACTATACCGTTAGGAGCGGCATCTTTTGGTTTATCATGAATTGGAGGATTTTTTTTAACGCTTTTTGTATTCCAATATATAATAGAATAATAAATGAAATGAAATGAAAAAAGATAGGTTGCCAGGCAACGAAACATACGCCCACAGCAGCTAAATCATCCGGGCAGTCAACAAGTGTTGTCTCATATTTTTTACTTTTTTTGGTAAGGAAACATTTATAATACACTAAAATCTGATTAAGAGTAACAACTCGTGAAGTAATTATCAATCTGAAGTCAATCGGATGATAACTTTAGCCTTTAGAATGTCACAAGTTTTTTCAAAGTGATCAAGGGCCATAAGTTTGGCAGTAATTATCGGAAATCGTTGAAAATCAATAGGATTCTTTGTCTCATGACCCCAAACACTGTGTATAAATTTAAAGTCAATCGGGATATTAACTTTAGCCTCAAGAGCATCCACAAGAATTTTTGAAATGAAATGAAATGAAATGAAATGAAATGAAATGGAGTTTAACGTCCTGCTGATCAAGGGCAGTAATTATCGGAAATTGCTGAAAATCAATACGCTTCTTCGTCTTATGACCGTAAACACTGCGTATAAATTTAAAGTCAATCGGATATTAACTTTGACCTATAGAGCGCCCACAAAATTTTTCAAAGTGATCAAGGGCCATAACTCTGGCAGTAATTATCGGAAATCGTTGAAAATCGATAGGATTCTTCGTCTCATGACCTTAAACACTGTGTATAAATTTAAAGTCAATCGGATATTAACTTTAGCCTCTAGAGCGGCCACAAGATTTTTCAAAGTGATCAAGGGCCATAACTCTGGCAGTAATTATCGGAAATCGCTGAAAATCAATAGGATACTTCGTCTCATGACCTTAAACACTGTGTATAAATTTAAAGTTAATTGGATATTAACTTTGGCCTCTAGAGCGTCCACAAGATTTTTCAAAGTGATCAAGGGCCATAACTCTGGCAGTAATTATCGGAAATCGCTGAAAATCAATAGGATTCTTCGTCTCATGACCTTAAACACTGTGTATAAATTTAAAGTTAATTGGATATTAACTTTGGCCTCTAGAGCGTCCACAAGATTTTTGAAGTGATCAAGGGCCATAACTCTGGAAGTAATGTAATTATTGAAAATCGCTGAAAATATACGACAAAAAATACGACCACATTTCAATGTGGGCGTATAAAAATGGGGTTTAACGTCCTACTGTTCTGCTCCGAACTGGGCTACGCCATAAATGCCCCTTGGCACAATCGTATTAGGGAATATTGTCTTGATATGCACATCTTCATTGAATAGTCAAGATACCTAAGCTTTAACAAACTATAATACCTTGTGCAAATAACGACTGATATTCCATTCCATTCGACAGCCACATCTAACACAGCATACCCACGGCGATGCATCTACTTCATACTTCTCAAGCGGAGCTCTAAATGTAGACAGGCAGCCCAAGTTTAGGATGCGAACATAGCAGTCTGTAGGTCTAGCGTTGTCCTATATTGTATACACTTTTCATAAACTGTAGTGAATTTAGTGAAGTTTACTCTCCCTCGCAAGGAGTCAGACGAAAGGAGGCAATCTCAAGGGTGTGTTGAGTTACAGGATGCACATGCGACCTTAATAACATGAACCATATACAAGACTGTTGTGACATTCTTTAGGCCAAGAAAAAATTATATGTGTTTAAGGTTACAAAATAGAGTAGATCGGAAGGAAAATCTTATTTCCTAGCATTTCTAGCTTAATTACCAAGGCCATATGACATTTTCTGAAACATATTATTGAATCACAGATTTGCACACACACAGAGTTTTATTGACAAATGGATTTAGGAACCTGTGACAGTCGGAATTCGATATAAGGGTATTCCGTGGCGCCGCTGTTCGGGGAAAATGCCCGTCTTCATTAGCCCAGTCGGTGCAGAAAAGTAGGACGTTAAGCCCCATTTGATTTGATTTCATTTCATTTCGTAAACATATTTCAATTAGTAGTGTGGCCGGTTCTATATCCGATTGAACTTTGTACATTTTAAGTGGAAGTCGGTCGAGCTGTGTACAAATTTCAGTTCGTTTCTGGAATCAACTGTCGACTGTGGAACACAAAATTGGTTATATCTCAACAATGGCTCTTTCTGTGGACCTAATTTTAAAATTAAATCAACACCGTTATATTTTAACCAAATCAAAGAGACTCATTGATTGTGGTACACATAATAAAAGAAGGTTAACGTTTTCATCAATACAATACTTCTCTAGTTTCTTTAAAGTTAAAGTCTGTTTTCGTCCCATCTGAACGACCAGGTAATAATTTAGGAGTAAATTCCGGGGGCAACTGTGTTATTAAAATCGCCAGTTTCTTCTCACTGGGAATCGAACCCGGGGTGTCTTTGTCTCAGTCCACGCTTCCGTCTCCATCAGCCTGGGCTAATGAAGACGGACAAACCCTATACAATGTACTATGAGGGAAACTTTACCCGGATAGCGGTGCTACGGCCTACTCTATTTTCCGGCGTGGTTTCCCCTTGTCCGGGGTGCCGGAAAGAGGGCCCGACAGGGACAGCTGTCTAGTCGTTCGGATGGCACGAAAAACTGAGGTCCCGTGTATACACGTAAAAGATCCCTTGGCAATTGGAATTCGATATTAGAGTAGGCCGTAGCGCCGCTGTCCGAACAAAATGTCTCTCACAACACACTGGATGGTGTAAGCCCGTCTTCATTAGCCCAGTCGGAGCAGAAAAGTAGGACGTTAAACTCCATTTCATTTCATTTCATTTCTTTCGGGAATTTTACGGCGGAATTCTACTTTACAGTGGTACAGGACGGAGGGGCTGGCAGGGGATAACGTATAGTCTTTTGGATGGGACGAAAAATAGAGGATCAGTGTACATATAAGCGAGCACGTAAAAGACCCCCTGACAGTTGGAATTCAATATAAGAATAGGCCATAGCGCCGCTATCCGAGCAAAGTTTCCCTCAAGTTACACTGTATAGCGTATGCCCGTCTTCATTAGTCTAGTCAGAGCAGAACTGTAGGATGTTAAACACAATTTCATTTCATTCAATTTTCCCAAAGCTGTGTATAGATAAAGTTGCGACAACTGTGAAGCCAGGAATTTCATATGACGTCATGCAAATATGACGTCAAGTGTACAAAAACGCCATCTTGGGTCCGAAGTAACTCTACCAACTCATTAGAGAGGTTTCGCAGCTTAACAGTTACGCTTACACTTACATTTAGATAAGTGTAAGTGTAACTGTACATTATGACGTTTCGCTAAATTCACACTTACAGTTACACTTAGTAGGTGGCGATACTAAGAATAGCAGATGATAGGCACGAGAACATGGACGCTGACGAAATTTTAAGGTTAGCCTTGGAAAATGATGATAAAGAGACTTCAAACTATGTCATCCTATTTGGTATTGGCAGCCATGCCTCCAATTCAACTTACGATCCGGACTGGCCAAGATTTAACCTAAATAACCTCTCAGACGAACAGATTAGGTGTCATTTCAGATTTGATAGGAATGGAATTCACCGTCTTGCCACAAGTCTTCATATCCCGGATGAGATGTTTTGTGTAAACCGAGCACGGGTAAATGGAGTTGATGCTTTATGCATTTTGCTACGGCGTTTGGTCTATCCTAATAGGCTTGTAGACCTTGAGAAATTATTTGGAAGGCCGAAATCAACCCTCTCTTTGATCATAAATACAACTCTCGACTTCATTTATAATGAATTTGGTCAATTACTAAGTTCTTTAGATCAACCATGGTTAGGGGAAGAAAAGCTACGAGAGTATGCGGTTGCCATACATGAGAAAGGGGCTCCACTTGACAATATATTTGGCTTTATTGATGGAACTGTCAGACCTGTCTGTAGACCACGAGAGAATCAAAACGTCTGCTACAATGGCCACAAGCGCGTCCATGCCCTCAAGTTTCAGTCGGTAGTCACTCCTAATGGACTCGTTGTAAACATGTTTGGACCTGTTGAGGGAAGGCGACATGATTGTGCACTTTCAAACTTAGTAGATTACTAGAGCAGTTAGAAACCAAAGATTTTAAAACTTCAAATGGTCAGTCTTTGGCATTATATGGAGATCCTGCGTATCCAGTAAGGAATAATTTACTGTGTCCCTTTAAAGGTGCTAATCTTACGGCGGCTGAAAATAACTTCAACTCTCAAATGTCAAGTGTAAGAGAATGCGTGGAATGGGAATTTGGAAAGATAATAAATTTGTTTGCCTTCCTAGACTTAAGAAGAATTTGAAGCTCATGCTGCAACCCGTCGCCAAATACTACTTGGTTGGTGCACTGATTTCCAACTGCCACACGTGTCTTTATGGGAGTCAAAAAAGCAGTTTTTTCCAGTTACAGCCTCCTACTATCGAAGAATATTTAGGAAGAAACTGATGGTTTAATAAACAAACACCAAATTGTGATATAAAGCTTTATAATATATATACAAAACTAGAGTGTAATAAATAAATATATATAATTTATCACTTTTGATTCTGACTAAGTCTTATTAATAATTCCATCATCTGCTGGTCCCTTTGTAGTCTTGCCTCCCTCTCTACTTTCTCCAATTCAAATTTCTTCTTTTCTAGCTCTAGTTGTTCCCATTTTAACTTGGATTCCTCCGCGTGTTTCTCCCTAAGAAACGTGATGTAGTCTGGTGTTGACAAGTGCGATTTTCTCTTTTTGGTGGGTGTTACAGTGTCATCTTCTACAAAATAAATACAGAAAGATAAGGAACCGTAACATTTAATGATTAGAATTGTTTCTTCATCTGATTTCTATCAACAATGAAAACCATTTTCAAAAATTAATAATTTATAGATTTCAGACGAATACAAAACATAAGTTTACCCCCAGTTTCCATAGATGTGCGTTTGGTCCCAGTAAGAGTCTGCATTGCCAGTCGTCTCACGTCTTCCCCCTGTTCCTGTTTCTTCCTATCTAATGCCGAAGCCTTTCCCTTCTCTTCAGTTTCCAAACTACATATTTCTGTTAAAAGTTGCTCCCTCTCCCCATATTCTTCATCCGTACCGGATCTGCCAAGGAATAAATTATTGAATTATGAAAAGGCAAATAAATTTTAACTAACGCTTACATTAGACTTACTTCGGAAATAATATCATCACATCTTCTAGTTTTTGTTTTATTTTCATGATAGCATACAGTAACAAATAAAATATGGTATTGCCAGTGGCTTATTGGTCCGTATACTTACGATCTGAGTGACGATAACTCATCCTTATTAAATTTCTGCAATAAATCTTGCTTCCGACTTCTGCAAGCTCTAACTGAAACTTGAGAATTTGGCCGTATGATCTGCAGAACCTCATTGACGCTCTTTGCCACCGAATCCCAGGACTTTGAGTCGTTCGGTCTCCTCGAGATCACTTCTTTAAGTAAAGTTTAAGTAGCAGTATATCCAACGCCGGCCAGAATCTAACATTCTTGGGCTCATCGGGTGAAGACGACGGCATTCTTGTCCTGTTGTTGAGGGAAAATGATCTACTTTTGCTCAAAAAAATAATATCAATAGATATAAAATGAATTTCATGCGCAGTACGGTATTTCATTAGGCTAGTCTACGGCACTTGAACTACCACTTGGTCTATTAGTAACGCCAAAGAAATAGAACATGGTTGGGGGGGGGGGGGGGGTCTAACGCGTGCGCTTTAGCCTAGATCATAATGACTATGGCACCGTAGCTCCGAGAGCCTAACTAAGTAAGACTGGGTATAAATAATGTCTGTCATCGGGTCAAGTGGCGTGGTGGTTTCCTAAGCTTATTTGTAGTTATACGAGGCAAGAATATACTAAATTTAGGGTCCCCTCCCCAACATGGTGGGATTTCTCCAAGTTCTTCGGTTTCCTTCCACTGCAAAAGAGAGTGTGAAGGATAACCAAGTCTTCCCAAGGTAGCCAGTCCAAAGACTAGGCCAGGTCCATTATATCGATAGGCCTACATAGCACTATAGTCATGGGCAGATCGTTGAATTACTAAAGCACGCATGTTTTGTCTCGGCCTCTTCCTTTTTGTCTAAGAGAAGGTCTTCTCTGTGGATGTAGTTCGTTAAAACCACGATTCAAAGAACAATTATGGACTTGATCATAGAAATTAAACAAGGTTTAGCTAAGTGTTGTGAACTTACATTTGTGGAGGCTGCTATCCGTCTGCTACACTTTTATGACGTGTGCTTTACGTCATACGTCACAAAAACCGATGACGTTTTACCGTCTAAATGTAACTGTAAGTGTAAATGTAAAGTTGCGAAACCTCTCTATTAAGCCCTATTATATTGTTGGATGTCATAGATTTCAGCGAATAAGTGTCTATAGGAGATAAAACATACATTTTTTAAACGAGAAGTATAGCTGAATATACTATTATTAGTATTATTATCACTGAACGAAACTGCATTGGTTTCTTTTGCATTTTGTTTAGGGTAAAACGTTATCCCTCAACGCCTAATACTGCAAGAAAGAAACCTGTATGTAAACCTGTATGAAGCCATGACGTCATAGCTTTTATGGCGTCATAATTGGGACCCAAAATGGCGCCTGGAAATGAGTTGTCGTAACTTTCCCTATATAGGGCTTTGAATTTTCCTAATTTTCTGTACCAATCGCGCTATTGAAGATAGGCATACGCTATGCAGAGTGCTATGACGGAAATGTTCAATGAAGCGTGGCATTTCTTCATCGAAATTCAACTGTGAAGGATTCTTTTATGTGCACGCCAATGTGTAAACAGGAGCTTGTTTTTGGTCCCATCTACACAACTAGACACTGTAGGCCTACTTTGCCAGACCCTTTGTCCTGCACTACCGACAGGGAGAAACCACACTGCAAAATCCCGGGTAGTCTCTATCATCCAGAAAAATATTCTACGAATATTAGTCTGGACAGGTTGTCAACATTTGAGAAAAATTGGCTAGATAATCCGGTCTTTCACATTATCATAAACAATGTCTAAGGGAGGTAACTCCTCTTAAAACAAGATGTTTACGCCCATGAAATTAATTTAAGAATGTCATTTCAAAAAATCCATTTGATTGCATGCGAGTTCAATATCTAACACTCTTGTTTATTGTAAAATTTCTCTCTTCATGGGCCATATGCTTTTAAAATTAATCCTAATTCGTCGTCACGATTCATGTTTGTTTATATTAATGCAAGAATTATGGGATTTATTGTGGGAAGGGGGCGCAACTCTTACTTGACTTGGCTGAAGAGACTTGATAATCAACCACATTAAAAACCAAACTCCCGGTTACGCATGGGCAATGGACTTTACGTCAAATATTGACAACCTTCCCAGCAATGACGTCTATACTAACACGTCATTGCTTCCCAGACCCTCCGTATGTTGAAGACTAGGAGGTTCTGGGTGACCGAGACTAAATCCCGGGGAACTTTCTTGATCAATACCAGTACCAGTGTATATAATCATAGTATTGAGAAGAATATGGCTGATAATCCGACTCCGCGACAAAACGACATCACGACGGGTTGTCGCCTTATAAAGGGCGACACCACGACATTATACCAATCAGCAACCATAGTATGTACTATGATTAACTAAATATACATTCATAAAAGATCAAACAGAGGATTTACAGAAATATATTAAAACCATACACTTCTGCATTCAGTAAAAACAGTTTCAGAAATATAAAATTTGAGGGTTATATGTTATAGTTAGTACATGTAAGTTGCATATATATACAAGGTAAATATATATCAAAAGTTTGAATAAAATGGATATATCGAGGGTTTAGAACATAATTGTGATAAGTCACAATGCTTGATATATTGACTTATCACAATTATGTTCTAAACCCTCGATATATTTATTTAGATAATTTGTGCAGAATGCCCCATGATGAAAATATTTGAGAATTATAGCTCAGAGCAACGAGGGGGGCGGGAAGTATTCTCAGGGGTGCTGTAAAATTGACGGACAATGTATATCTATTGTTTTTACGGTCGACAATTTTTTCACAGGGGGTGCGAAACGTTTTGCATGGGGAAGGGGGGGGGGCTTCAAATGCATTAATAAAACGTCCCTATTAAATTCTCCTTTAAACATACATTATGCAAGAGTTCAATCTGCCAATTGCAGTTCTTTCTTTAAGCCTGAAATGTTATCTAAATTATTAATTAGACATTAATTAATTTATCCAGACCATAGTCAACTCTGGGTGTCATCGCTAGTCTATTTACTGGATTAGAATCCGAACTGCTCCTCAACGCTCACTGGTAATTAACAGTCATTATTTTTTAAGGTAAACGATCGCCCTCGAGCACCTGCCGCTCACCTGAATGTCGACCGAGTGGAGGTTTTAAAAGTATTTTGGTCCAAAGATTATTCAAAAAGAACAATTCAAATAGAACATTGGTATCTATTGATTTCTTTATGTGTCTTTATATTAATGATACATTTATGATACGTATTTGTATACAAGCCAGTCCATAATTCTTGAACGTATATTTTAATATTCAGATGTACTTCATTACACAAAAACAACTGCAGCCTTTACATTTGTGATTGAATTTGTGAGAACACTACACTCAAAGATCAACAATATTTACCGTTGTGATTGAATTAATTCGAACACGGTATTCAAGACCATGCATATGATATGTCATCTAATCTTACAACAAATATACGGATGAATGAGAAGTGGGGGTGGGGGTCACACTGATCAGCAGTGAATATTCGCTAGGCCGCTACAATCACTGATAAGGGTGACATCGATGCAACTTAATGAGCCACAAATATTAACTTCTTTCCTCCGACAAATTAAATTCTAAAACATTTTTTTATGTATAAGAAAAATAAATAAAGCCGTTTGAAGTATTTGTAGATAAAATATATTTCCTATTTAATGTAAATGGCTATTAAAATGAGTAAAAGGCACCATTCTGCCCGAACCAGTAACGTCGTATGTAAACAATGCACGCTCCATTGAGCCAATGATTGACGCTGCGTGATTTGACGTCAGATGTTGAAGGCAGTCATCTTTTACCAGGATATTAGAAGACTTTCGTAATCCTCTGTGAAACAGACTGGGTGGAGGTATGTAGAGGTAGAGAGCGATAGAGAGAAAGAGATAGAGAGAGTGGAGGGGGTAACTTCCACTCGACATTGGGACTTAAATATCGTACAATTTTATTTTGATCATTCTCTTGTCCGCAAAGGTTTTTAGCAGTGTGTGTGTTGGGGGGGGGGGGGGAGACCTGGCGATAACCCGCTAAGTTACGGGAAGGCGATCCTAACCGATTCTTATTTCTTACACACGTTTGGGGTCGCAACCACGCCACTTGACTCGGTGACCTTATGATCTAAAGCACACGCGTTAGACCATCTACTACTCGACCTCTCTGTAGACAAATAATGATCGAAACAAGTCAAATTAAATGTTATCTATTATGATATAAATTATCTTCAGAAATATTAGGGATTGGTTTCAGTAACACAAGGCAATAGGGGAGAATTTGCGAAGTTGGTACCATAATTATCAATCCTCAGAATGTCGGTTCCAGGAACATCACACCATAAAACAACAACCCGTTAAACGTTCATTCAAGTACATATAATTGTCATTTTTCGGACTCGATTACCACATACTTTCTTGTCTAAAAAAAATCATTTTTATGCCCTCATCGATTTGGTAAATGTCGATTTAACAATTAAATATTTTCGTAATCTATTTTATCGGATGACTATTTTGTATCTTACCTGTATATTTGGTGAATTCTTCTCAATTAATCACATCTACAGAGACAAATGGAATCAAATGTCACGTTGTAAGGTGTTAAAGTTGTTACCATAGCAACATACTACTATAATTAACGGGAGTTAAAGAGACACACGTATCGGTTACATCAGAGCCCAAGTGTTAGAATGAAAGGAATAGAAACTCATTCCCAATAACTTTAGTTCTAATAAAGCGAGAGTGATGAAACTTGGCGTGTAGTTTTATTACATCAATACCTTGACTACGTTCCATAATGATCAATTTCTGCTCGGGGTAAGCAGAGCGATAAGCAATTTGATTGGTCGAGACTTTGGAACACAATAACTCTCCTTCTAATTGAGGTAGAATGTTCAAACTTGGTGTAGGCGTTCATGCGGTGAATGCCTTCGTGGAGTTCGAAGATGAGCATAGTAGTACCATGGCTTTTTGTCAAACGTGGAAAGCGAACCTATGCATTCGTTCTATTTTTACTACATATTTTATAATAGCCTGGTGATCGTCTAGTATTTTCAATTGTCTTCTTTGCTTCATTTTCACGTCGTGTATTTTCTTCTTACTACTCTGCCGTTAAGACCCTTATCTTCTCATTAGTTAAAACGTTTGTCTTACCAGGAATAACAATGCAACAGTTCTGGGCCCTTATTCACGAAAACTTAAACTAAGATACAATCGAAATTTAAGAAATACTGCAATTCGATTGGCTGACCAGTAAAAGCAATTTGCATATATCCAATGAAGTTGCAGTATTTCTTAAAATTTCGGTTGTAACTTAGTTTAAGTTTTCGTGAATAAGGGCCCAGTTCTACATTTTATATACAGCACTGAGTTACGTAGATTACAAGCATAATAGTTAACATTATCATACTTAAAATTAACATCTTTCTCTCAACCCCAACTCAGGAAACGGCTACATCATATGGTCATCTAAAGAACCAAGGCGATGTCTACCCTCTCTGAGAATTCAAAGGCAGTCTCTAGGAACTCAGATGGTATCTCTACGGAACCCAACGATATCTGAATCTTAAATTGCTGGTTTGGGCTTTTTTAACAGATTTGCTTAGGTCATGACTTAAGATTCTGCAAATAATGAATTTGATTGGATGGTTACAGTGTATGATGCAATTAGTAAATTTCCAATCACGTGTTAAAAATGATATTCTGATTCCCACAGAACGAGGTATATCTACCAAATTATAACTATTTTTATGTTTAAATCCGTCACTCATTATTTGAGTGCATTTCCATACAATGTGTGTATGTGAACCCAATAATTAATGATACAATATGGTCGCAAAGATCATAGTACTACACATTTTCATACTGCACACAGATCCATCTACAGGCAGTCTTATTTTAGGATGCTTGTTTGATTCTCCCGATCTTTTCTTATATCATTTCTGCGTAGGTAAAAGTCCAGAGGGGGGGGGGGGCAAGGTTACATTCATCGAAATAACGTTGCACAAACATGCTTCAGCGGAAGAAATGTTGTCTTTGAGATTCTGAATATATAAAATTATCGGGTAATCCCCAAGACCTCACACTAGTCACACCTAACTTGACGTTTTCTCCATCGTGGCCCCGTAGCCACCCTCTAATTATAGTCTTTTAAAGACACAGACAGTTTAAAATGAAACAAGGATGGAGGACTCTATTTTAAAAAGACCACAAGTTATTTTATTATAGAACAATACATTAAACTAAGACATCAAATAATAACTATCATAAGGTGGGTTTTGTCAATACAGTTTCAGACAACAAACACAAGGATAAAAGAACTTGACATACACATGAGGTATTGAACTTTATGCAAAATGCACATAAAAGAAAACCTTATTCTGTGGATGGAAAACAAATTTTGATTCAAACATGATGCATTTTCGGATTGAAATACAAAATTTCTCATCTGCTTCCAATTACATTTTTTAGGGGCATTAGAACTTCCAACAAGAAAATAAATGGAATTAATTTCATACAATATCACATTAAAAAAAACCATTAAGAAAATGATTTCATGTAGGTACCTGTAAGTCTACTAAAAACACAACAATTTCACATAGCTAACAAATAGCACAAGAATCTCTAAGTAACGGTTACAATAATTATGCTGTTATTTTTATGAAAGATTTCAAGAATATAAAGCAACTAAAATGCATGAGGAACATAACATATTTCTTTTATTTACAGAGAGTTTTACATACAGCACTATACTTCTATATACAATAACTTTAAAGGAGTTAACTGTTTTAATCTGGCCTCTTCGTCATTTTGTGTAAAAAAAAGTTCTTATCTGTAAGTCAATTCACAATTAACATACATGTACAGTACAACTTTACAACTTGAACTAAAGTAAGAATTATGTTGATTGAAGGTCATTCTAAAATAAATTCAATTATTGTTTCTTTATCAATTACAATACTGTTCTAGTTACTCTAAACATATTTATAAGCCCATCAGAATATTTATGAAATATAATAAATGGAGATAACAAAACAAAAAAATATGATTCAAACTTACAAAAAAATTCAAAAAGCACAAATTTAACCAAATTTATTAAAACTGACATTTACAAAGTTATGCAAATTTGGTTAGCATGCAAAAGTATCTGGTACTTGAAACAATAATCTAAAAAAAAAACCAAACCATAATTAATCTTGCCTTAATCCTGTTAGCGTAGTTCTTATCTCATTTTTTATAATGAATATAACAATAAAATAAAACCAAGTGCGAACAATCCAAACCATTAGACAAAATTTGAAGTTCTAAAAAAAAAAAAACGGTATAGATAATATTTAACCAAAATTTTTTACAATCCAATCAATAAATCCTAACATGAGTTATGAGCATCTAAATTTTACCTTTATTTTCGTAGATTTCATACTGCCATCTTTTTCACTCTTTGCTAAGATTTTTGTTTTGATAATCTGTTGGTAACAGTTTTCAGCATTTACTGCAGTATTTTTTGTGTTCAATCTAAGAATCATTTTTAAAAATTTATATAAGAAAATGTCTATTAGCTCCTGGCTTTAGTAATTTTAACAATTTAAATACATATACACGATTCAAAATATATACACAATACAAAATTAATGTACAATATATGAAACAATTTTTGTTCACTTAATAAAATTGAACATCACTCGAGAGAGAGAGTTTACACAACTCATAACTAATTAAACTCTCGGTTAGAGAGGATGATCGGTGCCACCAAGGTCCATGTATAAATAGTCAGACATAGCCAGCTGGATGATATCTTTACCCATAGTGATGCCATGTTAGCATTCAAAGTTTTAAAGTCTGAACTGGGACTGAAAAGAAAGATTTAAAGAAATTAGAAAAAACATTTCATTTGGTTCACTGTATTCAACATGTAGATGTAATCATCGACAGATTTGAAAATATAAGCTAAAAGTATACAAGTACATAACATAGACATTTTTTCTAAAAGCTTCTTCACAAAATAGACATTTTTTCTAAAAAAACTTCTTCACAAAATGCACATAAGTTCCTGTCTGAAAGGAAACTCTCTTCATACCATACTTCTCGTTTGATTAGACCTAATCCCACTCAAACAGTCTGATCAACAACCAATACATTACTACGTAATAAAATCAATCAAAATTAATCAGAGCTCTAAATATGTTACAGTAAAGTGTCTGGTGACAAACGCTGTTACATTACGTCATAATGCGCGAAATGTATTACGCTCAACTAACTAGTGCATAACCGAATATTGTAGAGAAACTAATTGTGTGACAAACGAGGATATCTAAAATAGCTACAATGTAATCACTGGGTATTATCTCTTGGACCACACAGCAGATGAACAATATTTTCACCATCTTTTAGTACATTTAATCAACTGTCTGAGACCCCAGATCAAAGAGAAGGACTGTCATGTTACGTATTGCGTTCCAACAAACTAGATAGAAATAGGACTTGTGCTTTTTTGATAAAATAAATAATTCATGGATTTTCTTCAGAAAAATGGATAAACATTATCGAATACTTAAATGTAGGTAGTAATACTTGGTACAAACAGACAGATTTGTAGCGGAGATTTTAGTCAAGGAATTTTTGAGTTTCAGCGACAACCAAATTTACTGATGTCAGCATCCATGATTGCACCCGTTGCATCAATGGGTAAAATCTTTTCTTGAAATCAGCACTAATAAACACTGGGATTTTTTTTTAAAAAGAGGTCACCCTCTGTTACGCGGCCAGTCATGAAATTTTCTTTATTTTACTGTACTCCGGAGAGATTTGATTGGATGATGAGAATGGACGCACACTGTCAAAAACTCAAGTTTTCAGTCTCAACACAGCAATGGCTAGAGAGTGATTTCTCAGACCATTGCTTCAGGAATATGTCTTTGCATATGTCTCTGGGCGTACTATGACCAGGAAGTGAGTGTGACATCATCACACCCATCATGGATATCAAATATTTTAATCTGACAATTGATACACATACAATTGCTAAAGGAACAAGCTTCGTCCTCAAGAACAAAAACAAGATGAGTTGTGCCAACCATGCTGTACATGCTTTATCTCAGAATTTTTTTGCTGGATTTTTTTTAGCGTACAGAAGGTATTATGATTTAAATAATTACCATGATTCTATTTTCATAAAAATTTGTAAATAATTCAACTCTGTACAGTTACTACAGTCGGGTGATATCTTTTAATCAATAAACACAAAGCAATAACTTTAAAAGTAGTTTTATGAAAACATTTTTCTTTTTAAAACTTGTTAACAATTAGTGAGGAATTAAACTTAGTAGAGTGAGCAGGGTAATGTGTGTTAATCTGAAATCACATCGGACAGGGGCAATAACTGTGAAATTACTTTTGCAAAAAATAGTTAGAATGGATAGGAACAATCGTTATCCATTTCTATGCCTGTAAATTGAATGAAAATCTGTGAAGAATTGGATTCTGTTCTGATAATCACTCATATATGATTGGGACCATCCTATCCCAGAACTAACTATTCCAAAAGATCCTATCCCAGAACTAACTATTCCAAAAGATTGGATGAAAATCTGATGACAAATGAACTCTGTGAAGTGATTACAAACAAGCGTGGATAGATCAACATGGGTGATGACAATATCCAACCAAATTAACATGGCCAGTAGTACTAGCAAGATGTATCTTTGAATCTATGCATCAGAATTCACATTCTTACTAATTCGTGACATCCTAAATCAATTCTTCTTGATACAGTTGATGTTTTTTTTCGTTCAGAAATATGGCCTTTAAATTATGTCCTCTACTTAAGAGGAAACAATAACACAGTGGTTGACGTAGTTCGATAGTTCAGATTTAAGGCACCCTATCAAATCATGATAACCATGATAACCTAGAAACTCCATCTTGACCAGATCCCAAATGTCCCTGTGTAAACTTGACTTACCTGTACCAGTTAGTCAATGTCATCATGACGTACAATGCACCCAGACATAACATAAAGTGAAAGAAACTGTAACTATACGCCACCTCGTCTTCCTCGTTATCATAGACATTCTGGCCTTTCTCTCCTCCATCAGTAGCAGCAGATGAGTCGGAACCTGTAAGAGGATCTTTACAAATGTTTGTTTCATTTAATATAATGTGACAGGTATTTGCATAAGGCAGGTTATGCTTATTCACTGTCTATTTCACATTAAAATACTATTTATTGGTTTGCTATCGCACATTTCAACAGACTATTGGTCAGTTTGTGATCATGTACTTTTATTGGTTTGTGACCACATATTTCAACAGGCAGTTTGTGATCACATATTCCAACAGGCAGTTTGTGATCACATATTCCAACAGGCAGTTTGTGATCACATATTCCAACAGGCAGTTTGTGATCAGATTTGAACAGTCTATTTGTTTGTTTGAAATTATATACTTAAACAGACGCTTAATTGGTTTGTGACCATGTACTTTATCAAACTGTTTATCATTTGGTGATCATATATTTCAATACACTGGTTATCGATGTGCAATCACAAATTGGTTTGTAATCACATACTTCAACAGACCTGTTTATTAGTTTGTAATCACATACTTCAACAGACCTGTTTATCAGTCTGTAATCACATACTTCAACAGACCTATTTATTGGTTTGTAATCACATACTTTGACAGCTAGCTCAAAAATCAACTCTGTAGACCCACGGATGACATGGATACAGTTTGGATTTAAACAGTTGTCCATTTAAAATTAAATCAATAAATGGTGGACCAAGCTAACGTTTCGCTGATGTCACTATCGGAAACTGGTGATGAAAGGCCTGCAAAGCCAAGCTGCCATAGCCATTGAGCATGTTACTTGATAATCGAGAATATGTGGGTGGAGTTATCGTCTGTCAATCAAATGATCGCGAATTTTCATAGACGGTGCAGACACAACTGATGCCTATTTCTAGTCCAAACTTCCAACAGTGACAATTCCGTTCAGAACAGAGTAATTTGACTGAAATTTTCAACATTTTCTTTTTTTTATCATCTATTTTTGAATTATTATAGCAAGAATGGCCAACTCTTTATAAAACTCTTAACTAATGTATCTATAATTTTAATCAAAAATTTTTAGCTCTTTAATAGTCAATTCAAAGACTCAAAAAGATAAAAGAACCTACCCGTATCTGTCTGTAAGATAGTTTTCTCCGTCAAAGTTAGTTTTCCCACTTGACTGTTACTTGAGGTTCGAATACTGCAAAAGAGAAGAAAAGACTTTAATTAAAAATAATACAATTTTTTTTATACCAATATCAAGTAAGATTTCACACATCAATATATCAGCGTTGAACATGAATCTCTCAGAATTTGACTAACCCCTATGCGGCCCATTCTTTGATAACCTCTGGCATTTTTCAACATATGACATCATGCAGCAGAAGGATTAACCAAGTAGCAATTGTCTGCCACTAAATCAATAATGAAATATTTAATAATTTAAAGATACATTATGGGAGATTAGATAAAGAGCTGGCAGTTCTCACTATAATAGTTAACCAGCGGCTGCCAGGCAGGATACGCCCACATTTTCGAGAGATGGATAGAGAACAAGCTAACAAGAAAGTGATATTTCCTACTATCAAGGGCCATAATTCAGGAAATTACAATTCAATATGCGCGAATATCGAAAGGAACTGATATCTTTGTGTTATAAACTTACATTTCAAGTTTCAACAAAATCGGATAAAAATTGTGACCTCTATAGGGTCCACAACCTTGATATACCAACTTTTTACGCTATTTGAGAACAAACGGCGGCCATTTTGTCTGTCAATTTTGGGTTGATTTTCACGAAATTCGAATTCAGTCGTCCTTAGGGTGTAACAGTGATATAATAATACAGTTTTTTTTAAATTGGATAAAAATTATGACCTCTATAGGGCCCACAAGCTAAAAACGCGATTTTTCGTACAATCAGGGGCCATAATTCAGGAAGTTACGGCACGATATGCGCGAATATCGAAAGGAACCGAGATCTTGGGTTATAAACTTACATTTCAAGTTTCAACAAAATCGGATAAAAATTGTGACCTCTAAGGGTCCACAACCTTGATATACCATATTCTTACGCTATACCATATACCAAATTCAAACTCAGTTGTCCTTAGGGTGTAACGGTGATATAATAATACAGGTTTTTAAATCGGATAAAAATTCTGACTTCTATAGGGTCCACAAGCTAAAAATGCGATTTTTCGTACAATCAGGGGCCATAATTCAGGAAGTTATGGTCCGATATGCGCGAATATCGAAAGGTTCCGAGATCTTTGGGTTATAAACTTACATTTCGAGTTTCAACAAAATCGGATAAAAATTGTGACCTCGATAGGGTCCACAAGCTAAAAACGTGATTTTTCGTACAAACAGGGGCCATAATCCATGAAGTTTCGATCCGATACATGCCAATATCGAAAGCAGCCGAGATCTTTTGAAGATAAACCTATATTTCAAGTTTCGTCAAAATCGGATAAGAATTGTGACCTCTTAGAGTGTCCACAAACAAATTGTGGATGGACGGACGTCCAGACGGACAGGGGCGATGGCATAATACATCCACATGAAAATGTGGGCGTATAAAAACTAGATAATGTAAAGGCAATTTGCTGAAAATTTCATTCAAATTGATCCACTATGAACCGAGAACTAAGCGATTGAAATTTCCGCCTAGCCTCGATCATCATTACTAAAGTCAGTATGATAAACAGCATAGTCTCAATTATCCATTAATCGTTAAATCGTGAAGGAAAGTTATGCAGTAAATCGGCTCATAATAAAGATCGCAGGCTAGCGATGTTATCTAGAGTTGATTATGGTCTGGATAAATTAATTAATGTCTAATTAATAATTTAGATAACATCTCAGGCCTAAGAAAGACCTGCAATAGACAGATTTAGCTCTTGCATAATGTATGTTTAAATAACAATTCAATATTTTTATCATGTTAAATTACACAATCAAAGACCTTTACAGAAATTCTGTCATATTATCTATTTAAAAGACAACTCTTAGTTGTTGCCATTAACCAAAAAAGTCATTTTGCCTATACTTAATACATGCCATGTGTGACATTATGAAGGGAACTGTCAGTCATCGTGAATAAACATATATGCATGCTCTGTGGTTGTATAAACAAACAATATAACAATCCGATAGAAACTAGTATAGCACATACTTTTTGCACCTACAGCTGGTTTCTTATTTACATTTTCACAAAGGCAACTTACTAGACCTGTTTTTTTTTTTAATGGATTATCAAAATTATTGTTAAATGTGGTATTTACTCGGATTATGAACCACATGCATGGCCGATTCTCGCTAAGGTAAACTGTTATTGTAGTTGATTGCGTCAATCAAGTTGATCAACTTTCTTAATCAACAAGTAATAATTAACCTGCTGTATTTAGCCGAAAGAAGATTGATATATGATACCATAGTGGCCAGTTCATTGTTTTACCAATCGGCTTGACTGAACATCAAGCGGCTAAAGCTGACAAAAACAGCTGATTAAGATCTCTGAGTGAATGACAGTTGGCCCCATAATGTCATGGCTAATTAAAATCAAAACGATTTATAATCCGGGTTACATATTTGATAACGATATTATATGAATAAATGCCAATGGTTGGACTTCTCCTTTGAAAGTAACATATATAATTATTAACTGTAAACCAACCTGGAATATAGAACAGCAAACAGCCAGATCAACAGAGCCACAATACCTTGCCAATCAAATACAGCTAGTTGTACATTAGGACCACCACCAGGGGTAGTACCACCAGTGGTAGTACCATTAATAATACTAGGTGTAAAAATGTCTGTCAAGCTTGGGTTACATGTCTTATCTGAAAAAAAAAACCCCAATATATTTGAAGAACAGGGGCGTAAATGTGGGGGGTGGGGGGTGGCACCCCCCCAGGAAAAAAAATAGTCGGTCGCAAAATCAGTGCAGTCGGTCACAAAATAAGAGCAGTCGGTATCAAAATAAGTGCTCACTGTACACGTCACGCTACTCACGCAAAACTTTAGTATAAAATAACCTTGTCAACTTATCATGTTTGAAAAAATGATGTGTTTCACTCTTATTCTGTTGTGAGTATGTAAGTCTTAAGAACAAAATTTCCCCCAGGGAGAAAAATAGTCGGTCTCAAAATAAGTGCAGTCACTGCAGTCGGTCTCAAAATTATGCATCGCCGTCTTAATGAATTAATGAGGTAAACAAATAATGCAAGAATAGATTTCAAATACTAGTCAGTCGCAAAATCAGTGCAGTCGGTCGTAAGATATGAGCAGTCGGTATCAAAATAAGTGCTCACTGCACACGTCACTCTACTCACGCAAAACTTTAGTATAAAATAACCTTGTCGACTTATCATGTTTGAAAAAAATGTTTTTCACCCCATGGCAAAAATATAGTCGGTCTCAAAAAAAAGTGCTCACCGCAGTCGGTCTCAGACTAAATTAATTAATGGGGTGTTTTCTGACCATCAGAATTCTGCAAAATCTCTCCCCAAAGTCCAGGGATATTCAGAGGCCAAGTAAGCGCCCCATTGAGGTAAAGTGCCCTCAGGCCCAGTCCTCAAAAATTAAAAGCTCAGTTACATATCGGCGCTCAATTCCATTATGCCATCATTCTTCAACTCCTTCTCTGTCTTATACTATCTCATCAATATCATATTCACAGTTACAGTGAATCGCCCAGTTAGTAGTACCACTAGTGAGTGAGTCGTGGGTCAAAAGACTGTAGAATTGTTAGTTCTACTCTCACAGATAGGCCTCAAGATTCTGTCCCATTTCCTTTCCCTTTTGGATCCATTTGCCATGACATTGACTAAAATTGTCAGGCCCAGTCCCAAAAATTAAAAGCTCGGTTACACATCTGAAATTTTTTCGCACCTGCGGCGCTCGATTCCATTATAACATCATTCTTCCACTCCTCTGTTGTCTTATACTGTCTCAGCACTTTCATATTCACGGTTATACTGAACTGCCTAGTTATGTTAGTAGTACCACTGGCACTGTTGTGTGGGTCGTGAGGCGTCAGACTATACAAAAGTTCTGTCAACTCTTGCAGAACAGGCGGAATTGACAAGGGCAGATCTCGAGATTTTGTCTAATTGACTCACATTTCTCAAACTGGTCCTCTCGTCCACAAGAATTTCTCCCAGCAATGACCTCAAATGCCAAGATATTGACTCAATTTTTCAAAATTTTCTCAGGTTGCTCAGTGTTATAGGCACAATCATATATGACATTAACTTTATGTCAACTTAAATAAAACTGCTTTCCAGCAAGACAACGATCGGCAAACAACTATATAATTATACAATACTATCTATGTTCTACCGGGACGCTTAATGTTATAGCCTGTATTTTGTTGATATTCATTGTGGGGTGGGATTGTGGCTGGCGTGGCGCCCTAGATTTGGAACCCCCACACCCCTATCTAGATCCGCTACTGCACATGGCCCCTACAAAACTCGCACCTGTGGTGCTCGGCTCCTGACTGCGTCACTCGTACTAGGGGTATGGGCATCAGTCAGTCACATTTTGGCTAAACACCCCCCCAAACAAAATCGTTATGTACGCCCCTGTTGAAGAATCTATCGCAAAATTTAACAATGACCTAAAATGCTCTAAATCCACAGCTATGAATGTTATTCAAAATATTTAAGCTGAAGAGGTTAATAACTTTGGACTCACTTACACAAGATTTTTGTCAGTGAATAAGGACAACAACTCTGAAACTAATTATTGGGAACTGCTGAAATTCAACAGGATTCTTTGGCTTATGACCATAAATACTGCATATTCATTTAAAGTAAATCAGTTGATAACTTTAGTCCAACAAATGGAAAGACAATATAAAATCAACTTTAGTCCAACAAATGGAAAGACAAAATAAAATCAACTTTTTTTCTGAATATGAGAAAGGGGGGGGGGGGGGCGTGTCTTTCAGCAATACATATAAACTATAATTTACAATAATACTCCTGAGCCAGTGCAGGTTTAATTCAGAATATTTACTATATGTAATGAAATCATACATTCAAAATATAGTTTACAACATTTGCAGATATAGATTTGTGCAAACAAAACTAAAATGGATGGCACTATACCTCGACAATTAACACGATATATTTGAACATAATGCAGATAGGAGGATTACCCCAGACAGTAGGGGAGGTTATGAATATGAAATTGTTCGATGAAATCTCATTAATTTATTAGCTTTACTACTTTAAGGTTTGCTTGAAATACGTTAGATATCAAATTGCTATAGGCTTATTCAGTCCACATAAAGAGGTACAAGCTTATATGCTTGTCCACCCAAATAATATACCGAGTCCTTAACTGGATTTGGGAGGCAAATGGTTTAACGTGCCTGTGTTAAATCAAAAGGTCTGTCATTGAGTTAAGTGGTGTGGTTTCCATTCCCTGCTTGTACGTGACAAGAAGTAGTGTCGCCTGTCCAACCTCAGTGGTTTTCTCCAGGTACTCATGTTTCCTCCCATGGCTAAAGACCCACACGTGCAAGAGAATTATTGAAATAAAATTTAATCATAAATTAGAGCCAAAATGTTACCTGGATTGTTAGTCATGGCTGACCAAGTGATGTACATTGTATAAAGTGTGATGATTGAAGATTGAAGAAGTCCTGATCGAGGTTGGTCTGTAAACAGAATATAATTAAATTTATGAATTTCAAACAATACGTTATAGGGCAATGAAATGAAATGAAATTGGGTTTAACATCCTACTGTTCTGCTCCGAACTAGGCTGATGAAGACAGGCATACGCCATACAGTGTGCTATGATGGAAATTTTGCCCGTATAGCGGCACTACGGCCTACTCTTATATCAAATTCCAACTGTCAAGGGATCTTTTACGTGCACATCAATGAGTACGCGGAACCTTGTTTTTTGTCCCACCCGAATGACTAGACAGCTGTCCTTGTTAGGTCCTCCGTCCTGCATAACTGAAAAAGGGGGTGGGGCACGCCAGTATCTTACCCACTTAGCCACTGTGACCCTCCCCCACCCCTTACAGGGCAATGAAGCGAGGGCATGAGTTTGACGTTACCCACATAATATAAGGCACACCATTATCATGGAAGTTTGATCTACTGTCATTTAGTAAAAAATTTCAATGGATAATCACAAAAATTCATAGCTTAGTAATAAAATATTGCAAGTTTCATCTAAATACATGTAGATCAATAATTTCTTATAATTTGCTTTCTACAAACATTGTTAACAATAATGAATGGATGGGGTGACAACATGTGGGTATCGTATATCAAGATATTATAAATAAATTCACTTACGTTCTTGTATTTTTGGTAAGATGGCAACAACACTAATGATAACACATAGGATCAGGTTAAAACTGACAAAAAACTTATGAAGCTTACAATCCGCATTCTGAAATAGTTTAAATGTTACATTAGTTTTGATGCAAAAGATACTCGCTTTTTACGTAATAATAAGGCATGTACAAACCTATAAAATTTTATATAGGGGAAAATAGTAACAATAGTTTGAAAAGGTCCCAATAATTAGGTGGGAGCTGTGTATATTGGAACCAAACAACATGATTCAACTTGATTCAACATGATTCCCAGCTAAGAATTAACTTTCATTGTTCTACTGCCAGACATCCATCATTAATTATACAACTGAGTATAACCCTCTGTTGACAGCTACATGTGTATGTATACAACTCTACCATGTGATAATGTGGCTTCTATATGTGTGCAATATTCTGTACAGGCTGTAGAATTTTATAGTTACAAGACAGAGGATGATCATAGCCATGATTATATTTGGGGTTTTGACAAAAATTGAAGTTTTACAGCATGTAAATTGACCGAAGGGTCTCGGCACATTTGGTCGAATGTTTTTATCAACCGGTCATCACCAGCATATACCGTCAACCTGGAATATATGTATCTACAGTGGACTATGTCACATCCGACCTCTGAATACTCTGGCACTCTGTGACATCCGACATCATTTTCATGTCCCGATTTATTTCCTTATTATTTCAGCCAAAAAATCTTTGAGTAATCCGTACTCTGAATTTTCCGAATTACGACATCGATCAACCGTCCCGTCACATGATTTCAATTGAATCAACACTGTATAATCCGGCCTTTAATCGGTTGGTGTGAAGCCACAAAAGATTAACAAGCAATCACCAATCAATTATCGGTGAGATTAAAACTCGCTCGCGTAGGTCTTTGTTGATTACTTTGATAAATTTATAATCTCTTGTAAGACAGTTGTGACAAATACTCAAGAATACCCACAAAGTTTCCCACAAATTATTCACAGTCGTAAAAATATTCCTAGCACCTGTTGGAAACATTCGTTGCGCGTGCCGATTGAACCTGAATGCCTAAGTTTGTTCACCCTACGGATCTATCCAAACCGTGTGACGACGACCTGGACATAGAATGACAGATTATCAATGAACACGTGACACCAAAGACAAGTGTGCGATCAACTGATGACGATGAAGAAGATAAATTAACGACAGACTTGACCTATTCAAAATGCCTACGCATGTTAAATGAAATAAAAATTAATGTAATAAAATTTTGAATGTACAGAAAGGTTTATCATTTTTAAAGGGAATGACGTTCTGGGGATTCGAATAATTCCGGTTTTCGAAGTTACAATAATACTTCCGGTTTTGAGAAAACTGAGTATTCTGACACTCTGCGTAATTCAAAATATTGTAACGATCCCGTATGATGTCGGATTTGACAGAGTCCACTGTAATTGACATCTTTTTGACAAATTATTCAAGTTTAAACTGGTTAGTGGGCCAGCACCATACCCACTGAGCTAACACACTACCCCAATCCGCTGACAAAATAAAAACCCTGCCATGGGGAGTATGGGGTTGACTTGCAACTGCCATTATTAAAATGAAATTATCAATAGATTTGTTCTGTCTCAGCCATTTTACATTGGTCTGTGGATGTGGATATAGAAAAAAACTTGTGTTGTACTTACATCGGCATAATAAATGTAGAATAAAGTTACCATGGCAAGAGCAAGAATATAGAACACAGCAGTACAGAAGAACAAACCTAGAAGGAAAAAAAAAATTAAAAAAATGTAATTTCACTAATGCCTAGATTTGCTAAATGGATGGATGAGGGGTATTATAATCAAACAGCAAATTTATTTTTTTATGCATAAATATTGGTATTAAAAAATATTTTGACAAAAGTGGTTCACTGCTTTTGAAAATTTTCTAATATGAGTAATAGACAAAATCACCTAATGCGAGAGAGCAGCGGACATGATTTGAAATATGTAAATTTAGTACCAACTGTTGTGTGTAGAAAAGTTTGCAAAGAAATACCAGATGATTCTTAAACATACATTATGCCAGAGCTAAATCTGCCTATATCAGGTATTTCTTTAGGCCTTAATACAAACTATTAAAAATACATTATGCAAGAGGTAAATCTGCCTATTGCAGGTCTTTCTTTAGGTCAGAAATGTTATCTCAATTATCAATTAGACATTAATTAAGGTATCCAGACCATAATCAACTTTCGATGTCATTGTTAGCCTGCAAGATTTACTGGATTGGAATCCAATCTGCTGCTCTAAAAGCTCATTGATCATTGAATCAAAAATTGGATAAATGAGCCAATTTTTTTTTATCGTATCAACTTTAGTAATGGTTAAAATTCAATAGCTAAATTCTTGGTTCAGAGTGGATCAATTTGATTGAAATTTTCATTATCTAGTTTTTAACTATTATAGTGAGAACTACTGCCAGCTCTTTATCTAATCTCCCATAATGTATCTTTAATTAGACATTTATTAACATGGCAAGACCATGATTAACTCTCAATGCTATCTCATGCGTACGATTTTAAACAGATTTGAATCCAATCTGCGAGTGTTTTTAAAATTCGTTTTTCTTGTCTCAGAGTGAAATAGTCAGACTGATATTTTTTAACACATTCTCTTTAAGTTACCTATTTTTATAATTATCATAGCGAGAACTGTCAGCTCTTTATCTAATCTTCCATAACGCACCTTTAAGATTTGCTACAAAAAGGACACCAGCCCCCTTAACACCAGTACATACTATGCATAATTTTATATATAACTGGCTGTGTTACCTGCCGTTGCACAGGTGGAATTTATCTCCATATTTGTAACATACATAAGGCAACAATTATTAAAGATACATTATGGGAGATAATAGTTAAAAACTAGATAGTGTAAAGGTAATTTGCTGAAAATTTCAGTCAAATTGATCCACTATGAGCCAAGAATTTTGGCATAGTCTCGGTCATTATTACTAAAATCATTAATATAAACAGCTTAGTCTCGATTATCCACTTTTATTGATTTAATTATCAACGGCCGTCAGCGGCATATAGGAATCTAATCCAGCCAACATCGAAGGCTAGCCTTGACATCGAGAGTTTATTATGGTCTGGATAAGTTAATTAATGTCTAATTGATAATTTAGATAACATTTCAGGCCTAAAGAAAGACTTGTAATAAGCAGATTTTGCTCTTCCATAATGCATGTTTAATTGTCAAATTCATTATTATTAGACACTATACCAAATACCAATACAAATAGCACCAGTAGATTTCTTATAAAAAACAGGTGTTAGTGAAGTTACAGTACACTTCAAGCGGAAGTACTAAATTTCCCCCGAGGTCCGACCTGGGCGGAAATGAAAAATCGCGGACGTCAGTTAATCAATCCGCGCTCGCCACGCTCAAAATTCCGCTCTAAAATTCCTCCGCGAATTTATATAAACCGCCGACCTCCGCGATTATTTTAAACCGCCGCCCGCGATTATTTTAAACCGCCGCCCACGGTTTTAAAAAGTCGGACTTTCCACGCATGTACAGTCGGCACATCCATAGCTGGTTTGAAATGGGTTTATTTATCGTGCGATTCCACGGCAGTGATATCGTAGTCGAATATCGGCATGCCAAAAGAAAGATTGTTAATTTAACACGGTTAGACACGCAGATTTTACTGGCTTATATTGAAAAATAACCAAAATCAAACAGGCTTTTAAATAATAAAATTAACAGAATTATGGCTGTACCGTACATTACTTCATCAATATGTTCGACATTTTTAAGACTTGCATCGATCTTCTATTTCAAACTCATTCAAATTACGAAAATTTCAAAGTTTACACACATAGATGCTGGTCTTACCGTTAGCGAAAGTTTCGTCCATCGAAATGGCCATTTCCATTCGGACAAATATGTCACTTAATGCATTTTAAATTAATAAATCACACCCGAACAAGTAATATATGCCTTCATCTCCTGTTTTCAAGCACACATAGCCAGAAGTCACCGTCAACCTTGCTGAACACATGTATCAGTCGGATAATACCTTGATTTCGGCACCAAAGAGTCTGGGTCAATGCATACTGTCAGTCAAGATTCCTAATTAATTACGTGAATTCACACGTGTCATCAAAAGGAATTGATAATTGACTAAAATAGAAGCCCCTTTAACAACAAATTGTTACCATGTCGTATTCTTGTAAACAATACTTTCTATTAATTTTATTTACGATAAAACTCAGGATTTAAAAATGTGGATATAAAAGATAATTCAATTTTTGAATCGGTACAGACTTAAAGGTTAGCGTATGCGCCGTGTGAAAAGAATACTTAATCATCATATTCGCAGGTGACATATTCTGTTAAAATCATTCGTTGAACCGGTGGTGATATTTTTTTTAATTTGGAACAAAAACCATCCCTTATATCGCACCGTGCCCCTTTAAGTCGGACTTTCCATGCATGTACAGTCAGCACATCCGTACATGTAAATGTTTTAAAACAGCTAGGTTTATTTATAGTGCAATTGCACCGCAGTCATCATATCGTAGTCGAATATCAGCTAATACGGCATGCAAAAAAAAGATTGTTAATTTAACATGGTTAGACACGCAGATTTTGCTGTCTTACATTAAAAATATAACAAATATCAAAAATTGGCAGGCTTTTATATAATATAATAAACAGAGTTATGGCTGTACGATTCATTACTTCATTAATATGTTCGACATTTTTAAGACATTCAAACTCGTTCAAATTACAAAAATTTCAAAATTTATACACATAGATGTTGGTCTTACCGTGGGCGAAAGTTTTGTCCATTAAAATATCCATTCCCATTCTGACAAATAAGTTTCACAATGCATTGTAAATCGGTAAATCACACCTGAAGTATTATATCTTCGGATTTAAATCACAAATGAATTAAATGCACACCTCGCCAGAAGTCAACGTCAACCTTGACGCAAACATGTACATAATACCATGATGGCACCAAAGAGTCTGAGTCAATGTATACTGTCAATCAAGTTTCCAAATTATGTGAATTCGCACGTGTCATCAATATGACTTTTAATTTTGGGGACATAAAGTACATGTATATATTGAACGTTGGGAGCCGAATCGTCATTTTAATTGAATTACCGTTAAAGGAGAAAATATTCCTTCCTAGCAATTTATGCTAATTCGTTTATTTCTACGAATATCGTTAAATTGTTGTTCATAATTAAAACGGATAATAAATCAGTATATAAAAAAACAGCATATTTTAAAACACCCACGTGCAAATCGCTACCTTCTATATATGTTTATTGTCGTCCATTTTCAGACATTGTTATCAGAATTCACGAAACATGGTTTCATTGTCTGCTTGTCGGATCAACTAATGACATAGAAAATTGCTATGTGTCTGTGCTTTATGGTGTGATTCACGAATTAAATACCGATGTAGATGTACATTATAAATGAATAGAACATAACGGACATTTTAGGATATGAATACAATAATACATTGGTACACTTTAGTTAATAATCAAAACGGAATTTGAAAAGAGTATTATGAATATATGAATTACCAGTGAACTAAAACGACTAATATACTCGTGATATTGTTCCATTAAATATTTGTTTCTTTCTAATAACGTTGTGGCAATATGGACTAAATTATTCTGACTATTTCAAATCACTATGGACTATAATCCGCCGCGAATTTGATATTTCCACCGACTATAATCCGCCGCGAATTTAATATTTTTTCGCGGGCGATAATCCACCGCGAATTTTATATTTTCGCGGACTTTTTTCCGCCCAGAACGTCTCTAATTCCGCGGAGTGTATATGGGTAAAACACCGCGATTTTTGAGCGGAAAAAACGCCCACAAGGACTATTTTCATACTTCCGCTTGAAGCGTACTGTATCTTAAATTTATAAGTTCATCCTCTTGGTATTACAAGAGGATGTTAAAATGCGTATGGCTATATTCTTTGGAACCTTAAAACAGACTAAAATAAGTCTAAAAGTACATATTAATGTATCTAAAATGATTTATATGCAACTTATAAATTTTTTACTGTAATTTCTAATTACCGGTTATTAAGTTCGGTGAAATACATCAACAGTCCAAATCAAACGGCAGTCATTTACACCTGCTTAGTCCATTATATTCATTTGTTTATTATGATTTTGTTGTTTGTGAATCAGCCATTACTAATTACTTATGCATTAAGTATGATTTTTGTCGTGTATTACAAATGGCGACCGAAATCTTAGAAATACACAACTTGTATAGTGATTTTAAAATATTCATTATATCTTAAATATTGGATATCAGGATCCCATATTTTCAAGGGAAGATAACAACATCAATATTGATTGAAATGGACCAATACTGAATTTTATTTCGTGTTTTTAATTTCGAATATTATTGAATTAGAGCTTTAGCTCTTTTTAAGTTCATGTCAGATGGTGTTACGTTCATCCTTTTTATATATGTCTGAAGCAAGACATTTGACACTAGACGGATATTAAATATGTGCTTGATTGAAGCATAACAATAAGAGGTTGAGAGAGAGAGAGAGAAATGGGGTTTAACGTCCACTCGACACAAACTAGGTCATTTCGGGACTAACATATGGTTTAATTTTATTTAATTAATTCGCTTGCGCGTAGGGGTCTTTAGCAGTGGGAGGAAACCGGAGGACCCGGAGAAAACCCACGAGGTTGGACAGGCGACCCTACTCCCTGCCACGTACAACCGGGGATTAATAAGAGGTTGTGTAATAACACAACGGTAAAAGATAATTAAACAAGCCTCTGCCAGGCAGGATACACCCACATTTTGCAAGAGATGGATAGAGAACAAGCTAAAAACAAACGTGATATTTGTACAATCAAGGGCAATAATCCAGAAAGTTATGGTCTGAAATGCACAAATATCAAAACGGACTGAGATCTTTGGGATATAAAGATATGTTTTAATCAAAATCCGATAAAAATTGTGACCTCTAGAGGATCAACAACCTTTGTATTGCATACTTTTACACAATTTGTGTACGAAGAGCGGACATTTTGTCGGGCAGTTTCATTTCAATTTTCCCGAAATTCAAATTCAACATTCATTATGGTGGAATGGTGATATATTTAAATAGTTTATAAAATCCGAACTCAATCAAAATTACAGTGTAAAGGTGATATATTCGAATATTTTTTTTTAAATCGGATAATAATTGTGACCTCTAGAGGGATCACAAGTTAAAAACATGATTTTTGTACAATCAAGAGGGCCATAATTCAGGAAGTTATGATCCGATACATGCGAATATCGAAAGGTACCAACATCTTTGGGTTATAAACATGTATTTCAATTTTCATCATAATCGGATCAAAATTGTGACCTCCAGAGGGTCCACAACTTTGATATACCAAATGTTATACACTATTTGCGTACAAGGGGCGGCCATTTTGTCCGGCAGTTTTAGTCCGGTTTTCTCAAAATTCGAACTCAACCATCATAAGGGTGTAACGATGATATACTAAACGATTTTTTTTTTTAAATCGGATAAAAATTATGACCTCTAGAGGGGTCACAAGCTAAAAACACGATTTTTGTACAATCAGGGGCCAAAATTTCAGGAAGTTACGGTCCAAAATGTGTGAATATCGAATGGAACCAAGATCTTTGGGTTATAAACTTATATTTCAAGTTTCAACAAAATCGGATAAAAATTGTGACCTCTATAGGGTCCACAAGCTAAAAACATGATTTTTCGTACAATCAGGGCCCATAATCCATGAAGTTACGGTCCGATACATGCCAATATCGAAAGGAACCAAGATCAAGTATGCATGTTTTATGTCAATCCTACTTAAATATGGCGGTTTAAAAGAACAAGAAGATGAGCAGAGCTTGAGGCCTAGTTCCTTGTCCAAAAAGGTTACATTACCCTTCCTTATACATTATACCTGACACTTATGTGATACTTTCCCTCAATCACTAATAATATTTTTTTATAACTTTCTTCACTTACCAAAATAGTAACATTTATTTTCAGTTTCTTCGTATTTACCAACCCAACTCTCAGCCCATCCATGAGCAAAGTCAACCAAAAGAATCAGCTGAATTAAAATAAATATAAATCCTCCGATCATACCTACAATCATCCATGCTGAAAAATAAGTCACACCAAAATGTTACAAAATTAGACATAGATGGGATTCCCAATATACCAGTAAAGTTATCCATAGTCTTTTTTTTTTATTATGGTATACTACACATTACGATCCAAGTTTTAAAACATCCACTAAGAAATTGACCCTATAGTACCAGACCGAGATGAGTTACTGTAACACTTGGCTGACAACTGATCAATATTTTGTTTTAAAGATAGCTATGGTGGCCAACTGAGCCAACGTGGCTCCTGAATGTTGCAAGAACCCTATATTAGTATACTATATGCAGTCTGCATCTATCACTTACCTTGCCCAAAGGCACCACGTGGGATGAAAAATGCACCCACACATATACCAACCATTATCAAAATCTTAAAAAACCAAAATCTGAAAATATGAGAAGAGGTCCATAAATATCAATTCAAAGGTTACGTTAGTCCAAAAACTTGAAATCAGATAGGGAAAGGAATGGAATTTAATTAACACAATGGTAATATCTAAACTAAATTACAATTACACAAATTATGTGTTAAATTGTTTAGTCGTTAAAATGAAAATGAATAGGTTAAAAGTGTTGTTGAAAGGAAAATTAATGAAAAGGAATAATCCTACAAATTTCAGAAATATTGGATATTAATTGCAGTATCTAGACTAGATGTTTGTGAAGAAATATGTATTCTTTACACTTACCCGTTCTGTATTCCAGACCGTGGATCTTTAGAAGATTTCACTGCTATCATTATCAGTGAAAATAGAAAAAAGAATGCAGCCATTGCAAAACAAACCCGATAAACAGAAAGATATCCAACTACATTATCACACTGTTCAGTTTTTAACACTTGATAATTACTGCCCAGAAAATCCTTACACAAGCCCGGAATCTACAAAATAAGATAACATTTAGTCATACTTTTAGCAGTGGGAGGAAGTCCGAGAACCAGGAGACATTTATTTGTCATGTACAAGCTGGGAATTAAAACCATGCCACTTGACTCAATGACAAACCTTAAGATCTAAAGAGCATTTGTTAGACCATTCAGCCACCCAAACCCCTCTTACATGTAGAGCAAACATGTAGAGCATCCCCTGACCTCCTTGTAAACCTCTATTGGCATATGGTGTGTATATATTTTGTAATGAATTATAAAACATCTATATCTTGATTGGCAGATTTGTATCAGAATTAGAATTCAATCTCTCTTGAACATACCTGATGTAATGCATTATACATGATTTGGGATTGTGTTAATACAGTTATTGATATTACCTTATCCAACGTATCCCGTAAGCCAGGATCCAACATGACAGCCGCCACAATTGTACCTATTACTAGCATCAATGCATAACCAATACGAGATGCTGTGGAATTCTTACATGATGGGCAACACGCACAACACAAACTGCATGCAGCACTCCCAAAACAACATGCTACCTGAAAAAGACATCATAAAATTATTACATGTATAGCCATGTAATTTAGAATGAAATGTTGTTTAACCTTTTGAAAACGAAAGATGGCTACATGTTTAGTAGTCCGGAGAAAATAATGTCATTACTTGACGGATCTCTACATATGACTAGCTAATTAATGTATGACACACTACACATGTACCCAGACTAGAGAATGCATGACTTCTAATCAATTTGGGTATTTTAACGTTTTAACTCCAAAATGACTGGGGATGACCATAAACTACATGTATGTAATGAAAATGACAAAATCAACCAAATTACCAGTGGGAGCATATTGGGTTAAAGTTTACTCAAAATAACAACAATGTTGGAGAACTACATGTAAATCTTTTAAAGTTTATATTGTTCTGCCAATTAAGATTTAGACATCAGTGTTACTGATTTAATGTGACAACTTCTGAAAGTGGATTATGACTTGGGTACAAGATTGTTTGGAAGTGATAATCTTATTGCAGTCAGACATCTACCTACTTCATAACTTCAAGTTCTCAGCTAACTGTAGACAGGCAGCCTAAGTTTGGGATGAATGACGGGTTGTGACTACATCTGATTATAATACATTGTACATGGTGACAAGCTTCTATAACGCGTTATGTCGCAACGTATATGTAATTTGGCCTGCATGTATTTATTAATATTACAATTTTCGTCTTTTGAAATTGGCACTTGAGAAATGAGAAATGAATAAGATTATCAGTATTTCATCTGAATCAAAATTAAAATTATCTGGCACACATTAAAGGAGCCAAGTCTGTAACTCAATTTCATTCAGTCTTTGACATTGCAAACACGACTTATTGGTCAATTTAATTCAACATTGATCTTGTTATCATACTGTGAAAGGTTAGGCTTCAGATACCCAACATTTAAGACAAAATGAAAATTTTAAAATGCTTTCGAGTGCCAGTTGTATGAAGCAACTCGATGAACGGGCCAAACATATTTACATGTCCTACAATGTATGTACTGTAGGAGAATACTTGTCATTCAGTTCAGACTCTTCGTGTATTTCGCAGAACATAACTAATTAGAAATTACAGTAAAAACGGAAACGATTTAATATAAATCAGTTTATATACCGTATATTATTATTTATGTATTATATTCTTGATTGCGACCCATTTCAGGCATTTGTCTTGTGTACATTTCTAGGTCACGTGCCAAAGAATAGCGATTTAACTCCTTTAAAAGTGAACAGTGTCTCTTTAAAATTGTAATTGTTAACTGTTAGCTAAGGGCAGCACATATTATTTCATACGATCATACTGAATTCGTGGAACTATATCACATGGGCATATGAATAATATGATCATGATGCCGATGGGTAAAAATTAAAAATATAAATAAAACGATTCAAGTTTGAGGTGAAATTTCACTTTATTTGCCGTTTTTCACAGCTATGTCATTTCTACTTACGGTTCCTGCAAGTCCACCGATTATACACCCCATGGTTGCTATCCACCAAGTCTGAAAAAAGACAAGTAATGTTGATTTCAAAATAAAACGTGAATATGAGTCAAGATCCTTGTTTACAAATAAGACAATATGGCTGCCCCTTGTCTATGACGTCATCTAAACTCCTCACAGCAGTTGTCTGATGACTGCATATTCGACATAGATAGAAGCATTTATGCGTGAAATAGAAATGGCAATATAAAAATAAAAAATAAAAAAATGATTAGCTGCTCAATTCGGTGAGCATACGAGCATAAATCATCCCTCCTGCTGTATAAGGTATAGAAAAATATTATGTTCATTAATACTTACACAGATCTATGCATCTGTGGAAAAGTGACTATGAATTGCGCATTCGCACACTGTTAATTATTATTTCAAATTATTAGTGCATGAATAATGGTATTTGCGGTGAAGTATAAATAATTCTATCAATAGAAATCCGTACATAATATAAGTTAAATAGTCCACATTTTTTTAAAAATTTTATTTATTTTTTTTATATTTTTGGACCTATTCATTTAATTTCAAATAGCAAGAATACTAGGTTAGGGACCTCATCTCTCGACGCTCAAATATAAAATAGCTGAATGTTTTTAGTGACGTTCCCTTGCCGCTAATAAAAAAAAATATATCAATATATCAGACACATTCTTGCATAAATTTCAAAATTCGATCTTTATTTTGCTCAGACTTAGCGTTTCGTCTTCTCTTCATATGACATCTAACTATTCTAAAGATGTAACTGATGTGGTATAAATTTATCAACAAAACGGAAAAGACATGAAAATATACGGCTCAAAATACAATAACGCAAGTCATCTCGTTAACACTTTAAATCCGAAAAAAAACTTAATTCAATATCTATGTACAACAGTCTATAACAATGGACCTTAAAGATGTTTGAAATCTATATCTCAATCTGACAAAGGTGCCATTTTTTTTTTTTTTTTTTTTTAATGTTTGCATTTGGTCTCATGACCGGTATTATTTAATGCCTCGAAGTTTCAAAAATTTTCGCAGTATAAAAAGTTGTTAAAAATGATAGAAACCGTGTGTCCACATCTTGCGAATGGAGCTTTAATGACGTCATTCCACGCACCCGTTTGCTTGCATTATCCAGACTTATTGATTTGTTGCCAATACAACGTTTAAATACGATTAAAGGGAGATAGCTCCTGTCGGCTTGTTCAATTTTGCTCTTAGAGTTACCGTCCCCTACAGTACCAATTAAAGAAGATGGCGTTAATTGTGAACAACTTCACAGCCGTAGAAGTCAACGGAGAAAGCGTCTGCTAGATGGTTATCACATACTTCATAGATTTTTTATGTTTATCTGTAGAGTGTAGAAATCTGTTTATGTACTGTAAATGTTAATCTGTACAGTTCGCTTACTGGGGAGAAATTCTAACTTCAAATTTCGTTTTTTTGGAGGTATTTCAATTTTATTTTATCTTTCACCGGGATCGAAGAATCTAGATTTCCATCATGATGATCATCATATCATGTTTTTTTGGACTGCTCTTTTCAGGCTAATCTACAAAATAACCACCACAAAATTTGACCAATCTTCACATATGGCAGATTTAAAACAGCTTCTATATGGCTATAATCGATTTGTTACGTGTAAATTGACACTAAATAATTTAGGCCTAGTAAATTAGCATGCAATTGCAATGCATGTTCTCATCATTTGATGGAATTCCTTACTTAATATTTTACTGAATCGTATAGGTTAATCTAGAAATGGTTCCACTACTCACTGACGTCTTACTCCAGCCACAGTAGCGGATCATTCTAACTAAGCAGTTCCTTTGAGCAAGTTTTTCACTCAAATGACTTCAAAAATGTTACGGTACTGGCCTATCCTATAGATCCCTTAATTTCCACATAAACTGACCTGAAACTGTACTGCACTAGCTGCACTTAGCTTAATATATAATAAACCAATTCCCATTGAAATAAAGGTGAAGTCTTACCGCATAATTATATGATTTGATGAAACCCAACTCCAATGCGATATTTCTCTCCTATCCAACTTAAAATGTCTACCCAGCCAAAAATAGCATGTGCACTCTGTCTCAAGTCGTGATCACTTTCCATATATGGCATTCATAGTAAAAAAGTGTAGTAGCACTGCCTATAAGGTAAACGATGAGCGGGGTTAATGCGTGCAATATTTGGCGAGATTTCACCTGGGTGATCTCATGACAGCTTGTACAAATGTACATTATATAAGAAATATTGCTACAAAAATGTAGAATGCATTACCTCATGCTCATAGAAAAAATGTTCGGTAACTATTTTTTTAGTGGTCCAGTCTTCTCTATTTGTGATAGAATTACTTATTTCAATACAAACTGTAATGATATGTATTGACAAAGTGCATCTGAACCTATATGTACTTGTGTAAGGACAAGGCCTCTTAGACTGTATTGTAGCTAGGGTTAATCCAATGGCGCCAATGCCATTACATCATGTAGTTATGTTAAGTATAGTGTTGGAATCAATTTAGGTGGAATCAAAGGCCACCACCCTGCATTCTGTCAACCAGTTGCAATTTACTATTTCTCACTAGTTAAACAATTGAGGCTATGACAATGTTATCATGTATTAAAAGATCAAGACTACTAATCGAGTCTATGACTTTGTCTTGATTTCTTAATGTACATTGTACATAGACTCGATTGCTAACTAGTGAGAATTAGTGCTCATAGCGACTTTTTGACGGAATGTAGAGTGGTATAAAACGTACTGACAGAGAATCGGTTTCATAAGTTATCTGTGTCTGATGATCATATCACTTATGAACATAAACACGATAGACTTCAGACATCATACTTAGTCACAGCTTAATGTTATTTTTTAAAGAGATTCTCCATGTTACAGGCACCTATGCTGTAAAGCCTCATGCATGGGGTCTGTGAAAAATCTACTGTGCTGTGCAGTCGCTACATGTACATTTATCATAAGAAAAATTATTCATATGCTTGTTATCGGTAAGACACTGATATAAAATTCATGCAATAATTATATTTTTACCTAACACTTGTGTTCTTATAGTCCCTATAAAAAAACTAATGTCTTCATTTGGAATTGGTACAGTTGATATTGAAGATAGAATTGGATTTAAATGATTGAGTCTGAAATGAAGGCTTAAAATCAACCAGTGCACCCCTATAGCACTTTAATTAAGCAAGCAGATAAAGCAAATGTATTTTGGGTAATTTTAAGAAATACAATCCTTTTAACTGTGTAATACATTGATTGATTAATTACACCTACTGTAGTATACCTTCTTCTACTCTCCTAATTTGCTTCATATAATTGGCAAATTACACACCCACTTAAACCTTTCATTTTGTACCTGTAATTATTAGCAAGATTGATACCATTAATTATGATTGGCTTATTTAATCTTTATTATGACATGTTGTTGATTACAACATGACATTGAAGTGATCATGCTGTGATATTTGTCGTTAATCACCTTGAGGAAAAGGAATTATTTGCTCTCTGAAATTTAGAAACCAGACTTTATTTAAGCATGCTTAGTAATTTTAGGGAACAGGTCACAAGAAACGCCCTAGTCCGAATGGCCCCAGTGACAGGTACATGTACATGTAAGGGCCTTCCCCCAGAAAATTTTAAAAATTACATTTACAGCACCCAGAATGAGGTTAAGAACCCTCTCTGTCTGTTTAGCTAGAAACTACTTGCATGATAAAAAGATAATAAGAAGCTTATTCAAATCATACAATTTGTTCTGGGCCATAGGCTTTCCTGAACTCATCACATTAACAGGCGTTTTTCTCCACTGGGGTGTGTATTAGCCATTAGGAGGGTGAAGGAGACTGGCTCCACTGTGGTTATTCAACGTAATTGCTTATGCGTTTGTACATGTAGGTTACCTGTAGACAGTTTGTTCTTTGATGACAATCAGGTAGTCTTTATGGGTTTTGTCTAGAATGTCAAGACATTGATTAACTGTATCATCTATGAACAATAACAGTCTTAGATTTCCTTTGAATTAATTAATTATCGGATAGCTGGGTTATACATGTATTATTACTAAGGGTGACTTTGATGATACTTAAAATATATGTTTATATCCTAGAGATTTCGATTCCTTTTGATATTTGCGCATATCAGACCATAACTTTCTGGATTATGTCCCCTGATTGTAAGAAAAATTGCTCTTTTTAAAAAAAAAAAAAAAAAAAAAAGAAACTTGTTTTCTGTCCATCTCTTGCAAAATGTGGGCGTATCTTGCATGGCAACTGCTTGTTATCCGATTTTGAGGAAACTTGAAATATAGGTTTATCTCTCAAAGATCTCGGTTCCTTTCGATATTGGCATGTATCAGACCATAACTTCATGTATTATGGTCACTAATTGTACAAAAAATCATGCGTTTAGTTTGTAGACCCTCTAGAGGCCATAATTTTTATCCAATTTCAATGAAACTTAAAATGTATGTTTACAAAAGATCCTGGCTCATATCGGACCGTAACTTCCTGGATAATGGCCACTGATAAAACTTAAAATGTATGTTTCTATCCCTAAAATCAGGGTTCAGTTTGATACTTTCGCGTACCGGACATCAACTTCCTTGATTGTGACCCCTGATTGTACAAAATCTGTCCATCTCTACTTTTACAGCAAGAACAGCATAATTCATCTTTAATATGAGACTGTCTCTATATATTTGTGAGAAATGGCACGTACCAAATCCAATTTTTAAGCTTGGAAATGCCAATGGCCTGATTAATCAAATTTGGCACTCTTAAAATTTTTATGACCTTTTGTTTGAATAATTACTGTGGACTAAATAACACAAAGGAAAAACTGGCAGTACAGCTTTCATTAAAAATTAAGATCTCAATTATTTTTGGAATACGCACAAATTGTAGCCTACTGATTACCATAAACAGATATTTCTTGTTATTTTTATGTCATATTAAATATGTCACTGCCCATAGCAAGGTTAATCTGTATGAAAAGTGAAAAGCCCTGTCTCGGAAATGTTGATTCACTTGTAATTTTGTAGCTTATAAAAAACAAGAAGACCTAAAATAGCTTAAATAGCTGTCAGCTGTATTACTTAAAATGTCAA